GGAAGGCGATTGGAAGCAGTACACGGTTATCTCTGCAGTGAGGCTGTTACTAGGACAGCCTTCGAGTGTCTCTTGAACTGTAGAAAAGACCCCAACTAGATGGAGAGACCGAGGCCTGGAAAATGGAGAGGATCTGCCTCTTCTCTTTGTTGTTTATTGGTCTTGGCATTTCTGGAATGCCAGCCCCCTCATGCCCAGCCTTCTAAAGCCTGAGGCCACGTGATGTCATTTTCTAGCTCCGGCACCTGGCATGTTTCTTTCTTTGTTTTTAAGCAAAATGATCATAACCATGATCTCTTATGCATAAAACATTTCACATTTTGAAAGTTTACAGCTATTATTTTATAAGATCAGACGGTGTCTCATTTTCACATGAGAAAACGGAGGGCCAAAGAAGTCAAATCAAAGTGCTAATTCATGTTGGATCGTGGACCAAAAGCCTGGGTCTGTCCATTCTCTTTCTGCTGATGGCACTGCCCCGGGGGCCACCTTCATAGGTACAGTGGGCAAGGTGAACACCCAGTGGGCAACCCAGGAGTTTAGGGGTGCTCCTGCCTCCATCCCCAAATCTACTTGACTGCCTTTCCTTGGTGGCATTTGAGAGGTCCATCTGGAGATGCGTCCCAACCATTTGTCCTTGAGAAATGGAGCCCCTTTGTCATCCCTAAAGAAGGGGCAGAGGAGAGTGAAACTGATTACCTCTCCTGTTGCCTTTTTTAAATATTATGCACCTGGTTAGTTCTTCCTGCTGTCTCAACTAAAACGAAAACCTGCCATTCTGTGCAATTTAGTGGCAAAGGAAAAGAACCCCGGCTATGCATTCTGCGTGCTGCGTGCTGTGTGCTGCCGTAACCAAGGATTCCAGAGGTCTCAACAGGCAGGGCAAACCCCCCATTCCTGTGCTGTCTTCACCGGGCACGGGAGAAGTCATTCCACTTGCAATGTAAGCAAAGGCTGTGGGAGGCCCCTGAGCTCAGCTTGAAAGGAAAGGGGATATCTCTGCTTCTAGGGGAAGAAAACTCATTTTCCCAATGCATCTCCACCCCCTCCTCCTGTGCAGATGAGCTTAATTTTCTTCCCCTCCTAATGAAGATGGCTCAAAGCCAAACTATATTCAAGGGGGAGTTAGGCAGGGGAGCTGAGTGAGGGGATGAGGGGGGCAGAAACAGTTTCTCTCAGGGAGAGGAAGTAATTAATTTTAAGAGAGAGCAGAGAAAGGGAAGCTCTTGGTAATAGAATGTCAAACTCCAAATGCAGGTAGATAAAAATTAAATCAGAGTATGGAGAGTTTCTTTTGTTCATTCATGCACTCGCTCATTCATTCAACGGATACTTACGGAGTTCCTACTGAGCATAGGCAGAGACCTCGGGTGAGCATCAGGAGAAAGAGCCCAGCTCCCCATAACCTCAGCAGGGCTCCGGTAGCTGGACAGGGCGAGTGTGGCATCTGGAAACTGAAGCCTCTCATCATTAGGACAAAGCATTTGCAAACATACCACTAAACGCCTGAGTATATTGGCCTTTTGAATTTAGGATTAATTGCTTAAATATCAGCAGCTGTCGACCCCCAGCTAGCTCTGACTAGCTTGTTTCATTATGGGTTAAATAATAATGCTGTCCATTTGCTTTTCTGTTCACTGATTGCATTGTTCTCTGCCCAAGTTCTATCCTCAGTCCAAAACATTAGATTAGCCCCTCCCTCTCAGTGTCTGTTGTGACATCACAGAATTGCCATAACAACAGACTATGATGTCAACAGAATGCCTGGTGCCGCTAAAAGGAACCATGCTAGTCAGAGAGGATTCTGTCATCCGAAGACAAAAATGGAATCATCTTGAAAGCAAGCCAGAGGAACTGAAATTTGGTATCAAAAAGAACATCTCGGCAGCCTAAGACAACATGGTCTGGAGCCTTCTTTGCTAGAACCCTTTACAAACAACCAAGGCACTTAATGAGATTGTTTGGAGAGCCAGTGGGTTTGCCTGGAGGTGGGGGAATGGAAGAGATGACCTTCAGGGGCCCTGGCCGCCCGAGGACCCTAAGTCACGGAGGGCATTCGGAGAAGGGAAAATTCGACCGTCTTCGATGTCTGGAGACTTCAGGGGAATGAACGACAATGCAGATCTCCTTGCCCTTGAGCAGATTTGACAGTTGCCAGCTGGAATTTATCATATCGCATCTGGGAAGATTTTCAGAAATAAACACATGAGCCCCATTTGCTGCCCTCTTCCTAACAGGCTTTGGAGAGGAGCTCCCCTTCCATTCCTCCCGAGCCAGGAAGCCAGTTCTTGCCCTAGGTCTGGCTCCAGCACGCCAGCACCATGTGCTCGGCGTGCTCCTCAGCGGGACCACCCCGCGCGGCGGCAGGTGAGCTGGGGTGGCGCTGAAAGGAGCCTGTGGGGCACTTGGCAGAGAAGCTTCGCTCATCCTGCTCCTGTCCAGACAGAAGAAGGCTGGGCCGGCGGGGAGAGGAGAGGAGACTTAATCAGCCTCAGCTTCCAGGCAGCGTGGCAACAAGAGCACGTGAATCCAGAGCCTCATTTAACCCTTGTGCCCACAGAATCAAAGCGTCTCTGGAAAGCAAGTTGATTTCATCCCAGGGCCTGTGTTTCTAGGCTGGGCTTCGGAGGCAGGGAGGACTGTGTTCCCGCAGGTCGGCTGGCTGAGCTGCTGCCATGCAGATGGGTAGGCGAGCCCCAGACTCCTCCACCTGCCCGGCCGCTCTGTGTCCTTAGCTCAGTGAGGTCGCACTGCCTGGAAGTTGTACACCTGCTCCGTGTACGCCTGCCTCTCCATCTCAGCATTTTCTTCTTGGGGACTTGGACTGGGAGGATTATCCCCTGTTCGCTTACTCTGCTGGGAGCACTCTGCCGGGCTGAATGCTGGGGAGCCACGGGCCCCCTGGGGCACCTGGGCACCCCTCCCACCACCTGAGGAGAGTCCTCCCCCTTCCCTCGTGCTAGAGCCAGGAGGAGGGGGACCAGCAGTGTCTGGAGCTTGGCCAGGACCCTGCGCGGGACTGAAGGACTTACTGCTCAGAGGGATGGTAGGAGCAGGGTGGCTGGTAGGTCCTCTGAGGCTGCCGAACAGGGACAGAGCTGCCAAAAAGATGTTGAAGTTTCGTGCTGATCGCCGGGTCAGGTAGGGATGTCTTCAAGGGACACAAGCCACGCGCAGTGAGAGCAGGCAGACTCGGCAGCTCCTGGGATCCGGGGCTTCAGAGTGTGGGGTCTGCCTGACCTGACCTGGAGGAGGGAGAGTAGCTAGGTCAATGACTGCTGCATTGCAGTGCTCGCCAAGGGGAAGCTATTTTGAAAGTGGTAGTGTCGGGGTGGAGAGAGGACGTCATTTGTAGGGGTTGCTGGGTAGGAGAGTCTGGGCAGGGAGAAATCCGCCGTGCCCTGGAAGAAGTGTGCCAGCTGACTGTGTGTGTGTGTGTGCACTAGTGCCTGCAGGCAGGGTTCAGCAGAGTTAGCACAGGAACATGTAGAGCAAAAGGGGACTGGGGTGGGAGGGCACTGGGAAAAAGCAGACTTTGGCACCTCAAGGACCTTAGTTGTCAGACTGCCAGGCCCTGGACCCCCAGTGGGGGCAGAGCCAGGGATGAGGGTGACTGTACACAGCTATCCTTCTTTGCAAAGATCCCCTGTGGTTAAGTTGAAGAGAGCATCCTGGTTGGACCTGGCAGACAGGGAGGAAGAGAGATGGAGAAGCGGGGAGCAGGTGATCAATATACTAGTGTTAGAACCCAGGCCAGGTGGCCACTGGCCAGATGTAGGTTCCTGGCCAGCAAGCCCAGGCTGCAAAACCCGGATTTCCCCCTAGGCTATAGCTACCGCCCACCATGCTTCTGTCTACTACATGTCTTTGAATTGGATCTGAACATGACTGGTTTGGAAGCTGAGAAAATATCTTTGCTATTATCTTTAGCTTCAACAGACAGCCCAAGGGCTGGGATGTGTCCGGGGTGATGGAAAGGAGTCTGCTAAAGGTTATTTTCCTTCTCTTGTGCAGCTGAAGGGACCAGACTAAAATCTCTTTCCTCTGGCACTAGCTGACTAGCCGGCCCCCTGCTAACGTGACCGGCCGGTATCAGAACCACAGCCTTGACACAACCTCAGCAGGCTCTGTCCAGGGGTGGACTGAGCCCGCTCTGGGGTCTCACAGTGTCTATCTCCTGAGGGGTGGGTGGAGAGGACCTTACACTCTTCCAGCCCCCCACTGGCTGCATGCTGGAACCTCCTACAACTTTCCTGCCAGGTGGTCCCCTCTGTGCAGAATCCATCTCAAATGGCTGCCATTTGTGGCTTAGACCTACAGTGTACCAGCCCCCTCCACCCCTAGACTCTGTCTACTGCCCCTCTTCCCCATTTCCCCAAAGAGCCCCCAGGGAACCAGCCTGACATTCAGTCGGCCAGAAGAGCCCCAGAAGGACTTTCCAAAGGCGCCTCCACAGTATTGCTCCCCATCTGCCTCTGCACAGACCCCGCCCCCTGCTGCAGGCCCCCCTGCTTCCTGCAGTCTGTCCTCACGATACCCCACCTCTGGGCTGCACATCCCTTAATTAGACCTGACTGTCGAGCCAGCACTGAACCTCACTGCTTGACAGCTCCCGAGGTCTCAGCAATACCCAGTACTCTCAGCCCGGGAGACCCTGCACTTTGAGTGAGGGTGGGTCGCAGCCCGAGCCCAGCAATGGGGTTTCTGGATCTCTCATTTCACTTAAGGAGATGGAACATGGAGCAGCAGAGGAAGGAGTCCAAGGTCATGAGAGAATTCTTTCAGCAGAAATGAGTGAGCAGTTTATGTGGAGCGCCGACTGGCATCGTCTCTAGGAGAGAACACACCACGTGAAACCCTCACTGCTGGAGTCACCCCCCCGACCCCACATACTGCCCAGGATGACCACCGTCCCGTCACTCCCAGGGCCTGCTCACCCTTGGTTGTGTCTCTGCCTTCTTCACCTTGACCACAGCTCTGTCTCTGTTTTGCCCCTGCAGCCACAATGAAAGACGGAACACATTTCTACACCCAGTGACCTGCCAGGTCCCAGAAGAAAACAAAAAGTTTGACTTGAAAACGTAGGTTTGCCCCACTTACTGCCTGACCTTTCCATCTTTAACTACGCCCACCCCGCGGCCACTTGGAGGCTAGGGAGGGAGATGGGGGAGGAGAGCAAAGGGGTGTAGGTTCACTCTCCTCAGTTCGGAGGACTGGAAGCTTCTGAGACCCTCCGGCTGGACACCGCCGTCCACTTCCCCTAAAAGGTAGCAGACCTCAGGTTGGTGCATCTCACAGACTGAGCTACAGGAGTGAGACAGGTCAGCTTGGCACATCACCCAGGCCCTCTGAGGGGAGCAGGGAGGGAATCTGATACGACCATGCGAGCCAAATGCGAATTCCACTCGCTCTGCATCTTGGCTCCGTGAAAGAAAGAAAAAAGATAATTAAATGACTCTTGTCGTGTACTGGGCTGTTGTGTCTTTTAGATGAAAAGGAAAAGGAGTTCCCGAGTCCTAGGGATGAGGTTTTCAAAATAAATTTACAGGAAAGAAAAAGGAGACAGTCCAGGATCACTGGCATATGACCTCAGAAGAGCTGAGGGAGTAATTGAGATGACCTCTTGAGAGCACTCAGGGGATCTAATTTTGTGCTGATGTTGGAACAGGTAGCCGGGTGGGAAAGGGGTGGTGGTTTCCATTGTTTCTTGGTTCTGAATAGTCTCTTTTTTCTCTCCTGGTCAACTTGAAATCAGATCGACCTTGGACATGTCCAATAAAGCAGGTGGGAAACGCCCGGCTACCACCAACAGTGACATCTCCAACCACAACATGGTGTCCGAGGTCCCTCCGGAGCGGCCCAGCATCCGGGTGAGTCCAGCCTCCAAGGCAGGCTGTTGGTCAGGAATGGGAAACAGATTAGCCCGTCCAGCAGTGTCTGCAGGCTCCAAAGAGCAAGTGTGGTGCTCAGACCAGAACTTCATAGAAAACATCATCCAGACCAGCGGTTCTCAACCTTGGCGCCCTTAGCATTTTGTCTCGGATAATTCTTTGCAGTGTGAGATTATTCATTATGGGATGTTGAGCACTACCCTTGGCCTCTACCCACTAGATGCCAGTAGCACCCATCCTTTGGCAACCAAAAATGTCTCTAGACATTGTCCTATGACCCTTATGGAACAAAATTGCCCCACCCTCATTAAGAACCACTGATCTAGGGGGACAGCAAAAGAAGAATAGCTCATGAAGGACATGGCAGTTGAGAGCTCAGAACGGGAGGAGGAAGGAAGAGGGTCTCAGGAGGAAGAGGTAGTCCGGAGAAGAATGATGAGGTCTTACTTAGATGAAAATGTCCATGGGGTTTGACAACATTGTAGTAACTGGATGCCTGGCTGGGGCAGTTCTAGTGGTATGATAAGAGAGGAAGACAAGCCAGAGAGGGCTAAAGAGGAGGTAAAAGGGGAGATGGAGAAACACTGAAGAGTAGAAGCAGTTCTTCTAAGAAACTAGACCATCAATCTGTGGTGGTCTCATCATGCAATGGAGTACTCTCCAAAAATTAAATGGACTAGAACTGTATGTATTAACAAGGATAAGTCTTGGAAACATAATGTTGAGTAAAAAGCAAGTTGCAGAATATGAAAAAAAAAGTCATTTATGGAAAGTATACAAACATGAAGAGCCATACTACATTTTTATAGATAAATAGGCAAAATAAGCATATAACCATGGACGGGCAGGCTAGTTTTGGGTCAGTGGTTGCCTGTGGGAGGAAGAAAAGGTAATGAGTTAGCAGAGGAGCTTAAAGGGAGTTTCAGCTCTATTTGTCATGTTTTATTAGAGAGAAAAAAAAACCAACACGTAGTGATTTATTCCCTACTTTTCTAAAATGTTTGAAATATTAAAAAAAAAAAAAAACTTTTAAAGATCCTGGACTGTTACGGGCATTGAGGGGCAGAGGATGGAAGCTTGAAGATGTGTAAGATGGAGGGAGGTTTTCTTGGTTCATTTTGTCTCGTTTCCAGATGTTAGGAGCAGGAGTGGAATGGCCCAGCTGGTAGGTTCAGGAGAAAGGGGATAGCCATGACTGTTTCCATGGAGACAGGAATCAGATGCAGAGGTGCTGTTAGCCTGGATAGGGGCAGGGTGTTCTTCCTGAGACTGCATGAAAAGGGCATTTGAAGTTTGGGAGGGGGTGAGTTCTAGGACGTCAAAGACATTCTCACCTGACGTCCTCGACTTTTGCTGGGGAGTAGGAGGTAGGGTTTTCTGCTGAGAGAGGCTGGGCGGGTGGAGAGGCATTGGGGGATTTGAGAATATGCCCGAGGTTTGGAGAACAGGAGCAGAGGTCAAGAAGGGACGTGTGAAATATTGCTCTGTGGTGTCAAAAGGTCGTCTGAGGTCATAGACTCAATCTGTGTGGCTCCAGTTCCCAGGTGTGGAGGTTTCCTCCAGCATCGTTCAAGGCCTGGCCACGGAAGCAGGGAAAGAAGGTGGTTGGACTGGCCTAAGGCTGAGGGCTGCCACCCGCAGTGGCAGAAAGTCAAGCAGCCTAGAGTATGGGGGTCAGCAGAACAGCTGGAGCATGGACTGTGGAGAGCAGCCTATAGGCTGCTGAGCGGAGGTGAAGCTACGACAGATGATGGACTCAGAGGAAAGGGAAGAATTTGGGAACTTGCCTATTCTTAGACTTCTTCACATGGCTCATCTCAGCCACATATGTGGGATTTTACTAGTAAAGTTTAGAAAATAATTTTATTTCCCAGTTTTGGGGGTACTGTATAATAAAGCCAAATTTCTTCTTTCTTTCCTTCTACAAGTATTTAGCAATGCGTACTATAGCCAGATACCTTGCGAGGCTCTGGTAACAGAGATAAACACAAATTCCTCCCTGTGGAAGGAGGCGGAAGGCCACCAGTTCCACTGCAGTGTGAAACAGTCAGACTGTGAGAGTGGGTGGGTAGGAGGGGGCAGCCAACTGCTTGGGGGGGGGGGGCAGGGAGGTTTGTGGAGTGTGGGGATCTGCACTAGGCTTTAAAGAATGAGTTGGGATTTGTAGATAAGGGAGATGGGGCTCCCCACCCCCTGTGGAAGGCAAGAGAGCCAAGGGATCGGGGGTGGAAGAGGAGCACAGGATTGGGCATGACCAGGGCACGGCCTGCCTGTGAGCCTGGCAAAGTAGGCTATGGGCCCTGCCCCATCTCGTGGTCTTGTCCTTGTGTGCTGTGCTGAGGAGTTTGAATTCCATTCTAAGTGATGAGTGGTAGTGGGAAACTGTAAGAGAGGGACGTGCTTATAGCGTGTTTTGGAAAGATAACGTGAGTTCACGGCAGAGGCTGGACAGCAAGAAGAGATGACAACCTGTGAGAAAACAAGTGAAATTTGAGAACTTTTAGGAAGAGAGCCTCCTTAGTCCTGCATAACGACTGTAGAAAGGGATGGAAGGAGAGTGTGAGGTGTTCAGAGCTCCGGTCTGGGTGACTGGGAGGACTGTACCCTTCACCAAGAAGGGAAATACTGAAGCACGGGTGTGGTTAGAAAGAGGATGAGTTTGGTTTTGTACTTTCCTTAGTCCTGTCTGGACAAGCTGCTCCCAGATGAACCAGGGCTAGGAGAGAGGTTAGAGATACATCAGGGCATTTTCAGCATATTGCCAGTCGATGAGATTATACAGGCACAATGTTGAAGGACATGAACGAGAATAAAAGATTAAACGTGTGGCTAAGGTCCACCAACGCTTAGAGTAGAGGCGGAGACAGAGGAGGAGCGGCCCCAGAGGGAGGGGTTGGGAAGGAAGCAGCATCACAGAAACCAAGAGTTTCCAGAAGGACAGTAAGGTCCTTTCCAGTACTTTCCAGTAGTGATGGTCTGGGCAGCCTCACCTCACTGACATTGCAAGAGCCATTTCAGAAGAGGTGGAGGAGGGCTGGGAGTGAATGAGGGGAGAGGAAGTCAGGACGCTTCCCAGCAGCCTATCCCTGAAGAGGAAGAAGGGAGGGAGGGAAGGTGCTACTTGACAACAGGTGTAGGGTTAAGGGGACATTCGGGTGGATGTGGGGGGGAGTGGGAGAGAGAGATGCTTTAAGATGGAGATACCTGAGCACGTTTGCTGAGGAGAAGAAGCCAACGGAGAAGGAATAGTTGAAGACAGATATGAGAGGCGATTATTGTCGATGGAGCAAAGCCTCAGAGGAGATGGTGGATTAGCTGCGTTGGCCTTAGAAAGGAGGACACAGCTTCTTTTTAGACATTGGAGGGAAAGAGGCAAAGACAGGGTAAGGGCAGTCATTTTCTGGGTAACAGTGTGTGAACTCGAGGAAGTGCGTGTCTGCTGACCTCATGTTTCTCTGTGGAGGCGGGTCCAGGTCCACCGTGGGGAGTGCAGAGAAGCTGCGGGGCTTGGGAGAAGGTGGGGTACGGAATGGGGGTGCCCTCTGGGGCTGAGCCCAGCTGGGCGTGGGGACCATGGATCTGGGGTGGCCTCACCTGTATTGCAGTGATTTTTCAACAGCAGCACTGTAGTCTGGCTGAGTGCAGGGAGGGTGGATACTTTGGATTTTAGAGAAGATTGAGCAGAAAGACAGTGGGTCGGTGTCTGAGAGGGCTGTTGGTCTGCCTTACTGTGGGGCCCAGTCTTCGTAGTCAACCCAGGGGGTGGCTGATGGGTTCAGAAAGAGCAGGAAGAGTTGAGGCGCCAGGGGTGCCCGTGGAGTAAGGGAGCTTGTGGAGCTGAGTCAGGGAGAGGGAATGCCCGAGGCTGGAGTGTGTGATCAGAAGGCGGGAATAGTAGAATCGACGATGTTGCTGGCGAAGGGGCTCAGGTGCTGACCGCTCTCAGGCCTGGCCCTGGGAGTCTGTTGCTGGGGTGGCGGGGGCGGCTTTGGAGTTGGGGACGGCGAGGTTGTATGAAGTTAAGGCATCGGGGCGGCATTCTCAAGAACAGTGCCACGGGGACGGTCAGACCGAATGAAGAGGATGCCTGGCATGAACGAAGGCTCTAGAAGCTGATAGTAATGAGAAGGACTAAATGGTGGGGAATCAGTGGCGCTTCAGGAAAGAGAGCCCGATGCCAGGCTGTGGAAGAGTGACCGCGCCCACACGGCGGTGAGGAGCTAGAGCCCCCGTGGGAGTGTCCCACTCGGGTGTGTTGGACATTGACAATGCACAGGACTCTGAGAGGGTGGTGGCGTTCTGTGGGTTCCAGGAAGCATTATGAAAGAGGCGGGGGGTAAGGACAGTAGAAGAAGGGATGGCCCAGGAGTGAAATAAAAGCTCGTATTTTCTCTTCAAGAAAACCCCCAAGGCCCCCCTGCTGTCTGACGGGCAGCACTCTTATTTGGAGCCCTATTTTAGAAATCAGAAAAGGAGTCAAAGACTTAAGAGCCTGTGCTCTTGAGTTAGTAACAGATTCAAGATTCACACGTGGGCCTCTCGGCATGAGGGCACCTGGGGGTCACCCCGGAGAGGTTCAGCTGCTCCCCTGACAGTGGAGCAGACAGCTGGAGAGGGAGGGCATCAGGCCTGCTCCTCTGTGCCTCCCCAGGCCACCCGGACATCCCGCAAGGCCATTGCCTTTGGCAAACGCTCACACTCCATGAAGCGGAACCCCACCGCACCTGTCACCAAGGCGGGCTGGCTCTTCAAACAGGTGAGGCCCCCTGCCATTCCGCCCCCATGCCCAGCGCCTCCTCCTCGGGGCACTGCTATTCCTCTGCTCCCCACTGTGCGTGTCTGTCCGGCGTGTCCTCCCATTCCTCACTGGGTGTGTCTCTGTGAATGAAGCTTCTAATTCTGTGAAAGCTCAGAGATGTCAAGTATCTTCCCAAGATCACACAGAAAAAGTAGTGTCATATTTGGGAAGCCGGCCGGATCTCCTAGTGGGCAGATGCAATGATTTTGAAATATTCTAGGTCACCCACCCTATATGTCGCCCATCCTCAGCTGGTCCCCCTTGCTATAAGGGTGGTGGTGGTGGTGTCTCCTTTAAGTCTAGGGTCCAGCAATTTGCCCCATTGGCCTTGCCATTGTCCCTGCCTGCCCTCTGCTCACTTCGTCTGGCTCATCTCTTGTCCTTTTCATCTTCCCGGGGCCAGGGGGCTTGGAGGCCCAAGATGACAGAGCTGAAGGTCTCAGGCAATAATCCAGTGTCAGGCTCCTGCATCGAAGGGGGTTGCTGCCACTTGTTAGTGGCTGAGCTGCAACCAGAGGCAGGATATCCTTATGGTTAGTGCAGCGCGGTTCGCATGGCATCCCGCCCCTCCCCAGCTCACAGCCCTCCTGTCTGCTCTGCCCCGTGCTCCGCAGGCCAGCTCTGGGGTCAAGCAGTGGAACAAGCGCTGGTTCGTCCTGGTGGATCGCTGCCTCTTCTACTATAAAGGTGAGCTTGCCGGCGGGCCTGTGGGAGGCCAGAGTACCCGGCACTCTCTCGCATTCTGCCAGACCACTGCGAGCCCGCCCCCTGCAGCCTGGAGCCCGCGGCTGGTCTTCCTCCTGTCCCGTGGAATGCGCCACTGACCCAGGAAGGCAGCCGTTTTGTCCCTTTGGTTCGCTGCTGTGTGTGCACGGCACATAGTAGGTGCTCCATCAATGTGGAATCAGTGAACATCCCCAGCTTCTGCCCTCTTTGTCCACCCAATAGTCACCCCCGACCCTCTTCCAAAGAAAAAGGAAGGCAGAGATCTGATCACACTGGTACAGCAGTCTCTAGGAAGGTACTTTTAAAATGTACACAGCAACACTGTGTCGAGGGGGTACAGAGGGAACGTGCAAGGGGATGCCCGTGGTGGTCCTGCCGCATGGGCGCAGGGCACTGGGTAGAGAAGGGTGAAGTGACTTTGCAGGAGAGACTGTTCCCTTTTCCTCCGTGCCCCTCCGTGCCCCTCCGTGCCTCGGGAATGGCAGAGCCCAGACTTCTTTGGGCCCGCATGGAGCAATTCAGTGAATCATTAACTCTGGCAAACAAAGGTTGCACCCAGGGACACCTCCTCCCCACCCCCAATGCTGCTATTCCTGTGCCCTGAGTTGCTGCCACCTGAACTCTGAGGAGAGAGATCAGGAAGGGACTGCATATACAGGGTCCAGTCACAGGAAACCCCAAGACTGGGGGTGGGGAGAATCTGCCCAGGCTGGGCCTCCCAGGTAGAAGGCCACACTGGCACCAGCGTGAACAAAGTTGGGGCAAGCCAGGCTCTCTTCAGAGGGCATGAGGCAGAAACAGAAATCTGTACACTTCAACGGGCACTGCTCTGGGGGTCACTATCCACTGAGAGATGCTCTCAGGAGATCCCCTAAACAGGCCTGGACCGCACCAGGCAGAGGCCTGTCCCCTCCAGGAGCTGACCGCCTCTGCTTTCCTGAAGAAGCCCTGGGGCTCCAGCCCCAGTCCCTCCTGCTCCTCTGGCTTAGCCCTTCTCTGGACACCATGCTGAGGTCTGCACAGGAAGCTTGATGTGGGGCCAAGTATCTTGTGCAGGTGATGAGCAAGAGGAAAAAGAGAACTAGTGGAGTTTGTAAACCATAAGAGATTTCTTCTGAACCCTGTCTGAGGGTGTTACAGTGTCTCCAGCCCAGGGAATGAGAAGCTATTCTGGGCGAGGGGGAGTGTCTTGCCCATGGCCTCATGGTCGCCCTCATCCTGTCCCATGGAGCAGCCCCGCCCCTTTGGCCTCCAGCTGACAGCTGGGGGCCCGACTAGCTAATCCATCAGGCTCCTTTGGAGATCCAGGATGAATTATGTAACAGCCTGATTGTTAGCCTGATCCAGGGACCAGAGGCCAGGAGGCCACGCACGGGCAAGTCCTATCTGGAGACATGGGGACTGTAAAGGGTGTGGGTCTTCGTCCAGAGAGGACGAACCCAGCTGCTAGGTGCCTGGGAGAACCTTAGAAACAGGCACCTTAGAAAGAGGATCCAGAACCAAAGAGGGTCCACTCTCCCACACCCCATCCCAATGTCTTGCTACGTATGTAGCCGTCAGAACTGTCTTGTGTTGGACAGGCACTGTGGGGGTCCCTATCCAGTGAGTGGCGAAGCATGATAGCTTGGGAGTCAGACCCCTTGGGTGCAAAGACCTGTCCACCATTTTCTACTTAAGTAACGTTGGACAAATTACTTCACCTCTCTGTGTGTCAGCCTTCTTAGCTATTAAATGGGGATAAAAACTACCTGTTCATAGGATTGTCGGGAGGGTTAAATTCATGGAGGCATTTCACTTAGAACAGTGTCTGACGCAGAGCAAACACTCCAAACCATGAGCTCGAATTGGCTTGCGTACTTGGGTACTAGACTGTCAGCTCCCTGAGGGTGGGACGGCTTCCCTGTCACTCACCTCCAGGCAGGTCCAGAGCCTGTCTGCAGGGCCGTCACGCGCCCCGGTGCCGGCAGGTGGCGCTGTGCACACCCTGTGTGGTGTGGGTGCCCTGAGTGCCCAATAGCAGATGGGCGCCGCCAACGTACCGCAATTTATCGGGACAGGGCTGATAGCTCCTCTCCCCTCCCCCTGCACACGTGCACGCATCTCACCGGTGCCTGTTTCCCGACAGATGAGAAGGAGGAGAGCATCCTGGGCAGCATCCCCCTCCTGAGCTTCCGGGTGGCCGCAGTGCAGCCCTCGGACAACATCAGCCGAAAACACACCTTTAAGGTCAGTTGGCCTTCCTCTCCCAGGTCAGACGGGGGAGGGGGCTTTTCCGGAGCAGAGGGGATGGGGACCGGGCAAGTGCCACCTCCTGAAGGAGTCCAAGTGGCAGTGGAGGGCGGCCGTGGGCGGTGGCCCCCATGCAGGCTGTCCTAAGGCTGAGGTGAGGCCATGTGGGGACCCCTTCCTCCTTCCTCAGGGGTTGGCTGGTGGTTCTCCCCAGGCTGGGCCAGTAGAGATGTGGTTCAGTGGAACCACCGCTTTCCTGGGGCAGGAGTGAGGAGTGTATCGGCTCTATGGGGATAAATATCGGCAGATGGAGCCTAGTTGTCCCCTGAGCCTCTGCTCAGTGGTCTGGCACCTGAGGGACCCCGAGCAGTGAGGCAGGCGCAGTGGGCGGGAGGGGCGCTGAAAGCCTTTCTGGAAAGTCTTCCTCCCCAACCTGGGCCAGGAAACTAGATCTACAGTCAAACGTACTCAAATTTCAATCTCTAGAGAAAACTAGGGGTGAGTTTCGTTAGTATCAAGAGAAGCGAGCCTCATGCAGACAGTTCTAGAGAACAAGGGTGCAGCGAGCCTCCCTCGTTACCCCCAGGGAGCCACCCATCCAAGGCTGTGGCTGCCTCATCCTGGGCGGTGTTTTTAAACATTTAAAAATGCACGACAGTAAAAACGATCTTTAAAAATGGCTCCTCTTGTATTTTATGACGTAAAGACCCTAGGTTCCTTTTTATTTCTCAGATATGACATTATGATGTTGCCCATGCATGTTCTTAGCATAAGGCCCTTCTCTCCCAGTCGAGAATGTCGTCCAAGGCCCTGGAAACCTGAAGCTGGGGTGTTAGATGATGGGACCTGCCGGTTACCCCCGGCCAGGGTCTGAGCCTCAGAGGCTGCCCTTGCTGTCTTCCGACTGGTGGCCCACCACGGAGAGGAGGTGGGCAGCAGCTGCAGGTGCTGCTCGGGGAACAGGGAGGGACTTCTCTGGCACATAATTAGTTTCCAGCCTCCCGGGTCCTGTCTGCCAGAGGTGTGAACAGAATGAACAATTAATAAAACTGGCTCCGGGGAGCAGGGTTCTAGCTGTGGAAATAGGAACAGGCTGTTTAACCAACAACAGTCCTGCTATAACAGACACACTCACACCCACACAAGCAGCCAGCCTGTCTCGCCCTCCCTTCCAGGCCTGTGGGTAGACCCATGCACACTCCAGCTCGGAGCTCAGCAGGCATCGGGTCAACAGCTGATGACTGACACGCCCACCCACCGTAAACAGCAGATCTTATTTCTGTGCCCATCGGCGCTCTCCTCCTTCCCTGTCCCCCAAGGAGTTCACTGCCTCTTTAAACCAACCCCAGAGCTGTGCTCAGTGGCCACAAAGGGTTCCAATTGCGGCTATTCAGACGCCCTTCCCCAGGGAAGGGAGGGTTGCTGAGACAGATGGGAGGCTTGTCCTGCTGTGGCCACCGAGCGAAACTCTTGGATGGCTGATAATGAGCCTGTGCTGTTCCTGCCCAGCCTGCTGCTGAATGCCTTAACCTATTCCTGTCCCAGCCCCGTGGGTTCTCGGTGGGCTTCACCCCCCTGGGATTCCCCCCTCAATTCTCTGGTTCCCTTTTCTGGTTCCAGGCGGGTGTTCCCTCCTGGCTCCTCCTCAGATGCCCTGTCTTCCCCAAGCCCTCTGCCTCCGTCACCCCACCCCCAGCAGTTGTTCCCAGGCCTTTGCTCCCTCCTTGTCTCCCTCCCCCTGCCATCCCCCACGGGTGTGTTCTGTCCTCCAGTTTCCGTGAGCTCTTCCAGTGCAGAGAGCATGGCTTTGCTGGCCTGTGCCCGGAGCCCAGAGCATGCTCTGCCCTCTCAGGAGGCTCTCAGGATGCTTTGCATTTAACGCACCTGCTGCCCACTCCTACCAGCTCCAGAACACACCCAGAGTCCCACCGGTGTCCCTGTGCTCCGCGGCAACCTTGTGTTCTCCACACAGAGGGCTCAGCTGGGCCCCTGATTGCCACATCCCTGCGTAGTTTCAACCCCCAGACACCTCCTTACAGCCTCACTGGCTTTTCCTCAGCACCCCCCTGCCTCTGCAGACATGCTGGGCCCCCTGCTGGAGGGTGGGGACTGGCAGGATCCAGAGGAAGGAGGCCCGTCTCTACCCCTAGAGGAGCATGTGCCCGCTCTGGGTGAGGGCTCCTGTCAGAAGGAATCCTAGGCAGGGGAAAGGGCCGTAGAGGAGCGAAGGTCCGACCAGGAAAGCATTTGGAGGGTGTGGATCTATTGCTCGTAGGGGAGCCCCGGGGCTTGGTCAGAGAAGCCCTTTCTTCTCTCCTTTCAACCGCAGAGGCCCAGGATTTAGCATCCAAGGGGTCAGAGGCCAAAGTGAGGTTCCCATCTGAGACCCTTAGTCACTTTGGATCTCTCCTGCAGAGTGCGATAAGTCTGCCTTTCCTGGGGACCGAGGTCTCACCTCGGGGTACGCTGAGGTCCCACAAAGAACCTAGCTCTGGAGCTTCTTTTCCCTGTGGCCTAGGAATCTTGAGTTTCACTGGGTAGACCCCTCCCATTCAACACACGCATCCATCAAGGCCAGCGCTGGTCAGGAACAGTGGGGCTAGCACTGGGCTTCCCTGACTTCTCTCCACCACCAGCCCTCCTTGGGGCAAGCTCTCCACAGCCCCCCTGGTGGGCTGAACTGGGCATTGCCCGGTGCTGCCATCCCAATGGTAACACCGGAGTAGAAGGGGATCGTTCGAATAGCTCCCCACTTTCGTCTGCTCCTCGACATTCCTGCCGCATCGTCTTGTCTCTCTCTGGTGTTTGGTTGACCTGTTCTCTGCTTCTCCTTCTGACTGCCTGAGGACCCCTCCTCTGCACAGGAGCTTTCTTCTGGGTTCCCGCCCGCCACGCCTGCTCGCGGCCGCCAACTAGGTAGCGTGCTCTGACGGTCTGTGCGCCCCTTGCATGCCGTGAGAGAGGCCTGGCTGTCCACACGAAGGGACAGTGCTGGCTTCTCGAGGCCCAGAGATTGGTGTATGCTGGGGGGCATCTCCCCCAGACCTCGGGTAATTGCCCCTCAAATCAAAGATAGAATGCGAGGGGAGAGTGGGCATGGTGATTGTCTCACCTGCTTACAATCACCTCCGGTGGGGCAGGTAGCTTACCTGGGCTGCCCAGTGGCGTCCAGAGAGCTAGCCAAGGCGGGCACCTGGGTGTCAGCTGGAGCACTTGGTAACCTGTGGGCCATCCTCACCTTGCAACTGAGCTCCATGTGGGAAAAAGCTGCAGGTCGTGGGAATGGCCTTCCTAACCACCATTTCTGTGGGGATGGGTGTCTTCTCCCTACAGGTGACTGTGTGCTGGGTGGACGCGGCGGGGGCCAGTTCCACGAACTGCCTCTCCCCACAGGCGGAGCACGCCGGGGTCCGCACCTACTTCTTTAGCGCCGAGAGCCCCGAGGAGCAGGAAGCCTGGATCCAGGCCATGGGGGAGGCAGCCCGAGTGCAGATCCCCCCAGCCCAGAAGTCGTTGCCCCAACCTATGCGTCTCAAGTGAGTGCCAGGGCCCTGGGCCTAGGTGTGGGGAGTGCCAGAGAGAAAGGGAGAGAGAGAGGAGGTGTGTCACTGAACCCAGTGTGCTGGCCCGAACCTCTGAGCACGGCGCCCAGCTGAGAGATTTCTCAGAGCCGGTCGTCTCTTCCCCCCATGGGCTCTTCCTCTTCTCTCTGAGCTGGTGGAGGCCAAGAGAGAAGCCAGGGTCCACTGGGGCCTGGCCAGGAGCCGAAGGCCCGGGTCACTTGCTTAGTTTTCATGGCTGTGCGTGTGATGCTCATAGCCTTTGGAGGCAGGTGGACTCCGGCTCAAACCCTAGCTCGGCCACTTGCCCATAGTGCTGCCTAAGTTATTCTGTGAACCCGAGTTTCCTTTCCCCAAAGGCAGCGATCATAATCCTGCCCCACAGGTGCTGTGAGGACTGGACAGTAGATATAGAGCCTGCTGTGTCCTGAGCACCCAGCGCTTGGCTGTTGCCCCCTCCTCGTCCACAGTCTGGGCGCCCGTCTGGGCGTGAACTGCGCATTGAGTTAGATGTTCACAGGGATCCAGGAGGTGTTGCGGTGTCGACTCCAAGTCTGTTCACATGCCGTGGCAGTGTTCACCAAGCACTGTCTCAGCACGAACGTTGAATGTGTTGAGTTGGAGAAGCTATAGGAGAACATGGCCACGAGAGCCCATCTTTGCCTCACCAAGGGGCGTGCTTCCAGGAGTTCTCGCGTTCGTTTCATAAGAAGTGGCTGCAGTTAGACACGCGTAAGGCGCTATATTGGGTGTTAGGAAAACAAGGGAGCAGAATTCTGACACGCTCCTGCCGCGCGGAGCTTGTGTTCTAACACAGTCGGTCCTGGGAGAAGCTTGTTTCTGAGAAGGGAAGGAGCATGTCTGTGCTGTGAGTTGGAGGCCACAGCGGCTGCCCTGGTGCCAGCGTGTCGGGCCCTGCAGCAGTCCTCTGGAGGGCACCGTTATCCTCATCCTGCCGACCCGGGCCTGGGCTCATGGCAGTTGTGATAGGAGAAAGGGCTGGCCTATAACAAGCCTCTGTAGCTGGGACATCCAGGGTGGTTGGCGCTATGAGGCCAGTACAGTGAATACCAGGTGTGGGGTCTGTATCCGAGACAGACTACAAAGGAGACGCAGGCTGGGTGAGAGTCTTGGCCCGAGATTGAAGGCTGGGCTGACGGCAGGTCGGCTGAAGGGAGTGGAGTGACCCCCGGGAGGAGACCTGGAGGCAGAATGCGTAGGTCGTGCGTAGGCGGGATCAGATGCCTTTTTACAACAACTGGGAAACAGAGTTGTAATGTGATAATTCTGTTCCCACTGCTACCTTTCTGCCTGTCCTTCCCGCTCCTTTTCTCCCTCCCCGTTTACCACCCCCCACCCGACTCCGTGCTGGGCTGGAGTCACTGACATCATCTCCCTTGGCACCCTGCAGCCACGAGAAGCCAGACTCCGAGAACGTCCCACTCAGCAAGCACCACCACCAGCCGCCTCACAGCAGCGTCCCCAAGCCTGAGCCAGAGGCCAAGACTCGAGGGGAGGGGGATGGCCGAGGCTGTGAGAAGGCGGACAGGCGGCCTGAGCTGCCCGAAGTCCAGAGCGAGCCTCTGGTGAAAGCCAATGGCATCCAAGCTGGACTGGACCCAGCCTCAGAGCCTGGCAGCCCTCACCCTGAGGGCCCAAGGGTCCCAGGGGGCAGGGAGCGGCCCGCCCAGCCCAATGGCTGGCAGTATAGCTCCCCAAGCCGACCGGGGAGCACAGCTTTCCCGCCCCAGGACTCAGAGAGTGGGGGGCACCGGCCGAGCTTCCCCCCCCACGCCAACCCTGACAAGATTGCCCAGCGCAAGAGCTCCATGAACCAGCTTCAGCAGTGGGTGAACCTGCGTCGGGGGGTGCCCCCACCTGAAGACCTTCGGAGGTGAGGCCTGGGGAGGGGCCGGGGTGGAGCTGGGATGCTGTGGCCTGAGGGCTGGGGCTGGCGAAGGAACATGAGAGGCAGCCCCCGCTGGAATCTTCTGGAAGCCCCTGGACTCCTGGTTTGCCCAAACCTTTCCTGTTCTCATGGCTCCCTCTGCCCTGATGTGGCGCTCTCTCTCCGTCCTGCGGAGGAAGGGACAGAGCGCCCAGTGTCTCCCCACAAGGGAGCTGGGCGGCCCAGGAAGCAGCCAGGCAGTCGTAGGGAGGGTCCTTGAAGTCGGTCCAGTCGGACATCCGTCCGCCAGAGCGTCTGACCCTCTCACAGCATCCTCTGTTCCAGGGTTTGCACTGACATGAGATGCACTCAGCGGCCGCCAGGCTTGGTTTGAACGGCTGTCATTGTTTGAAAGCCAATGTTGATAGGCGGTGTTTACAAAGAGAAAAGAAACAAAATGTTGCCACTCGTGCATCTCAGTTCTGCCCTCTATACCAGTTTACTCTTTTGTTTAGTGACGGCTTTCAAACACTGCAGATACGCATTGGGCCCCGGTCTGGGCGGCTGGGGCAGGTACCGGCCTCGGAGACCTGCTCCCTGCTGGCGGCCTGGGCCGGGCGCTGCCCTGCGGGGAGAGCACCTCACTTGGCACAGCCCCGAAAGTCAGGGTGCCGCCCTGCGTTCCCCCTCCGCCGCTCCCCCCAGGTGCCTGGGACACTTGCTGTCTCGTGTTTGCCTCTCGGACAGGATCTGATAAATTGTTTCCTGCGGAGATAGAGATGGCTAATAAGGCTTCAGGTTTCTCCCCAGGGGCATTTCATTTTAGGGACAAAGATGGCAGGTCTGACTGGTGGAATTCTAGACCTCAGGGAACTGGTTGAGGGAGGGCTCTGAGGAGGGGTCTTCCCTGAACCTCTGGAGACGAACCTGGTGCCCTGAGCTCGCAAGGCCAGCCCGAGGCACCAGTCACCTGATCAAACCCACTGGAGCTGGAGGCCGCCTGGTGCCGCCGGGGCAGGGCAGACCAGTAGGGACATGCCCGCTCTGTCCACTTCCTCATGCTGTCCTCTCTCTCAGTCCCTCTAGGTTCTACCCCACGTCCCGCAGGGCCCCTGAGTATTACGGCTCCTACTCCTCCCAGTACCCCGATGATTACCAGTACTACCCGCCAGGGGTGCGGCCCGACAGCATCTGCTCCATGCCTGCCTACGACCGCATCAGCCCGCCCTGGGCCCTGGAGGACAAGCGCCACTCCTTCCGCAACGGGTGTGGGTGGAAGGAGCCTGCCAGCTATGGACGGCAGGACAGCTCTGTCTGGATCCCCAGCCCCTCCCGGCGGCCGGTCTACTACGACGAGCTGGAGGCTGCCTCGGGCTCGCTGCGCCGCCTGTCCTTGGAGCCCCGGTCCCACTCGGTGCCCCGCTCACCCAGCCAGGGCTCCTACAGCCGTGCCCGCATTTACTCCCCCATCCGTTCGCCCAGCGCCCGGTTTGAGCGGCTGCCGCCTCGCAGTGAGGACATCTACGCTGACCCCGCTGCCTATGTGATGCGGCGCTCCATCAGCTCTCCCAAGGTGAGCCACCAGCCTGCCTCTTCCTCCTCCCTGGAGGTCCCCCAGAAGCCTGAGACCGTCTGCAGAGGAGAGACAGGACATGGGGACGCTGGGCTGTGTGTTGACAGGGCCAGCAATGCTGCCCAGGGAGCCACTGGCCCTGGGGTTCTGTCCCCAGGAGAGCTGCCCTGGGGGACTTGCTTTGCCCCCCTGAGTAGGAACATTGCTTTCTGTGCCCATTGCCAGATTATGCCAAGAACCCTACTTCTATAAGGGCAGAGAGGGTTCTGACTTTTCAGACCATGAGGAAGAGATCATTGCAAGGACCTTGCACTGGATCAAGCTGTCCATTTAATTTGGAATCTGCTCTGGGTCAGGATACAAATATCTCTAACCTCGAGCTCCAGTTGGTGGGGAAGTCTGTGTCCCAGCCGGACCCTCTCACCTCTCCCATCCCCTTTCTCTTCCAGTATGATTACCTGGGAGACAGGCGGCCAGTCCCTGCAGGACTGTACCCCTACAACTACCCACCACCCCCCACGGTTCACGATAAGATGGTATGTCCTCTCCTCCCTCACTCCTCCCCTCAGGGCCTCTCCTCCCAGAGAGGGCCTCTGTGCCCAATGCCTGGCCCAGGTGGTTTTGGTAGCCTCTGGATACCTCCTTCCTCCCAGCAGGACTCTACCCCCAAGAGAGTTTGGTGCCAGTTACCCCTTCTCTTCTGACACAGGACGTGGTCTGGAACCATGCAATGTCCTGACCCGGACCTCAGAACAGTCCGGCAGCATGCCCAGGGGCCCGGACAAGGGCTCCGATTGCGGGCAGGGAAGGAAGTGGGGCTAGAGCCCCCAACACCAGGCATGGTCTTCTAGCCTTTCCCTCCAGTGGGTCCCTGCAGGGAACGCCACTTTGGGGACGGAGACAGTGGTAGGACTGAGGAAGGACGGACTTCCCTTGTGGTGTGTCCTCCGTTCCTCTCCGCTGGGTACTGTCCTAAGCATTCTGTCTCTACCTGGAGACCTAGATGCAGATGCTCCACCTGAGGGGCTGGGGAAACCCACTGGTGCCAGCAGGCAGAGTCCTTGTCCCCAGGGGCCTGCTGCGGTCCCTTCTCCCGGCACAGCACCAGGAGGCCAGGGTGGAGGGGGCCTCGGCGGGCAGGGAGGCTGCCCCTCCATCCTTCTCCTCTGCCCGTCTGAACTCCAGCCTTGGCACATGCCATGCACCATCCAGAAACAACAGATTTTCCCAGACAATTCGGAAACATCTGGAGGTGCTGACTAGACAGCCTCAGTGCTGCTTCCCATGGGGTGGGGGGTCCAAGTGAGTCTCTCCCGTGGCTGGGCTGGGTGGCCCAGCAGGCAGCTTCTGTGCCCGCCTCCACCCTCGCCTCCACCCTTCCCCAGAGCTCCTCCAGGGCAGAGAGCCTCGTCCTTGCCCGGCTAACTCTTAACTGCTTTGCTTCCTTTTCATTGTTTTCTGTTGTCGTGTTCGTTTGTGTGTGTTGCCGTTGGGCCTCGGGCTCCGGGTAGGATGAACTTTTAGACCTTCAGTTGCAAAGAAACCTAGAGTATTTGGATCAGCAGGTAGGCAGAGCTGGTGCCCCCTCGCCTCCCCCTGCTCCTATCACATCTCTCCGCTGCTCCTCCCCTCCCCCCCCTCCTCATCCCCCACTCATTTGACAGCCTTTGTTGGGACAACCAGGACACAACAAAGTGGCTTATATTTTGGTTTGCGCCTTCACACCCCTTCCGTCAAAGCTCTTCAGGGCAGCTGGGAGTTTCTTGGGGAAAGGAGAACGTAAATGACCACATGAATAACTAACGCCGCCTCCCGTGTGTTCAGCCCAGATGGGATGGCCACCAGGGGGCAGGCAGGAGTTTGCATCGTCGCTGGAGAGAGTGGCAGCGATGAGATGCTTGATGAGATGCTTGGGCCTAAACTGCGAGGATTTCGCTGCCCGAATCTGGGAGAGTATCCTATCACACTCCATGGTCGCTGTTTACCTCCGCAATGTGTAAACTGAGGACTACAGACCTGTCCTAGGGTGATTTTAAAAACACACGACTCAGCGTGTTTGCCAGGCCTCCCTGCACACGCACGCGCAGCTGTGTTCCGGGAGCTCACTGCAGTTCCAGCCCAGTAGCACAGATGCGTGTCCTGAAGAGGCAGTGACTGTTCCCACGGGACAGAAGCCACTGGCTGCTGGGACCCCAGCTCCAGGGCTCTACCCGTTGACTACTTGGCCTTGTAGGGCTGAGGGCGCTGTGGCCCTCACGGCTTAGACAGGCCAGGGATCCACATGCTGGGCGTTTATCTGAGCACACACTCTTATGTTCAAAACTCTGCTACGAATCGTGGGGGACCTGGCCTGCACACACTGTCCCGTGGAGGCAGCCTGGGGGCTGGTGGAAAGAAGACTGACAGTAATAACAATAACAATGGCAGCAGCCACCAAAGTCGGGCTTCCTCTGTGCTCCACTCTATCCTAAGCTCCTTACAGGGCCTAGCTCACTCCATCTTTATCAAAACTGCAAGGCGGGTGCTCTGACTACCCCCATTTCATACCTGGTAAAACTACAGCACAGAGAGGTGAGGAAACAGGCCAAGAGCACACAGCCAAGGCATGGCCGAGCTTGGAACGTGCTGCTGAGCTGTGACCTGGTTGACAGCCCAGGGAATGTCTCGTAGATGAGGAAGCGGGGCCCAGATCTCCTCAGGGTGAGGGTGTGCTCTCAAAGCTGTTGAGAGGACCATAAACATGAAATCAGAGGCGGTAACTATGACCGTTGGTGGTTTTAGTCACAAGCCAGATGACCAGCGTCTCCCTGGGCCTCCATGTCTCCCTGGGAATCCCTGAGTCTGCATTTCAGTCTGCAGGGGAGGCGCCGCCACTCAAGGACGTTGCGGTCTAGTTCTAGCAGCATGTGCTGTGCAGCCCGTGGGGGGTCCAGCCCAGGATGCCAGGACCCCCGGGGGAGCAGGGCTGTCCACTTACTCAATGCAGACAGCAGGGCCTTTTCTGGGACTTCTGTCCTCTCAGAGGGGCAGGGCCCTTCGATCGGGGGCTTCAGAAATACCTTTTCAGAGGCTCTCCTCCTGGATAAACAGAGATATTCCAGATCATCCTAAAAGGCAGTTTTATCTGCTAAGAGTCTGGACTGTAGAGTCAAACACGGCACCTGAGTCCCAGCTCTGCCATTCACGAGGAGTTCATTTTTGTTTTTACCTTGAAAATGTCACTGAGACTCTCTGGGCCTCTGTGTTCTCCACTGTAAGATGGACATTGTGGAACCTGCCCTGTGGACCTCACAGAGGTGCGAGGGGAAACCAGTCAGAATGTAGAGGGGAGCACTTTCAGGCATTGGCAACGAGTGGTCATGGCTGCTATAGTCATTTTATTGTTCTCTTTCTTCGAAAACCCCGTTTCCGATATTAACCGAGCACCCTTACTGTGTGAGGCACCAGGAGGTGCTTTCTCACAGAGCCTCTCCTGCATTTTGGAGACAGGAGATGGTACACAGGCATCTTCCCAGAGACAGGACCACATGGGCTGAAAGATCCCCCAAACCACGCCAGGGTGGGAACAGGCCAGGGCGAGAACATGCCTGCTTCCCTCCTCTACTGCTCCATCAGCTGGCTGGGGGAGGGGTGAGATTAGTGGGCACCCAGGAGGAGCTGGCCTGCCCGGCCCTCTCACAGGCTGACGTGCTTTCCATCTGCCTTGTCTCCCACGCACATGCACACACCACACACATCACACACAAGACACAGGCATGACACAGCCAGCAGATGTAAACATACACACATACGCACGCCCCGTCCACAGCAAATACAATCTCATACACCCAGGCTCTAGGAAGATCAGTTTGAGTTCAGATCCTTCCCGAAAATGTGGTTGGTGTCCTGTTGACTTTTAACTATTTCACAGAGACTCAACCTGATATTACAACTGCTCTTTTGAGAGCCTTTTGAATTACATTTTATGCCGTGGAAAAAACTTGCAGTTAGCCTAAAGAGGTAGAAAAATCAGATTCTGGGAAAGTCTCTTCAAATGCCGCCTCGCCCGCCGCTGGGGTGGATGGTACCCCTCGCCAGAGCACGGCACTCAGAAGCAAGGCCCCATTTGGATGGCCATCTAAACGGTGTCAGGAAAATACATGTGGATCCAATAAAGATCGGAAAGATGGGGGCAAAAAATGTGGGGGCCTCTTGAACTGGGAACCCAGATCTTCCCTAAGGTGGCCCTGTCCCTTTCCTTAGTCACTTCTCCTCCCCAAAGAGCTTTTCCTGTACTACTCCTTTCTACTGCCTACTCCTGCAGATGAGACGTTAAAGGGACACAGCCAAGGACGCTCCCTAATACATTCGCTTTTTGATGCTGTCACACTGGAGCCAGTGGGGGAAATGATGGCACTTCCGGTTGATTTGATTGGCTTGTCCCCCCCCACCACCACCACCTTTCTTTTTTCCTTTCTTTTCATTTGCCAAAGAGTCTCTCCCCTCCATGTTCCCAATGATCCTTGAAACGTAAGATCACGTGTTGGGAGAGCAGTGTTCCACTATCTGGTGTCCCTTTAACACGGCTTGCTTGTTTTGGCCTCCTTATTTGCTCCCTAGTGTCATCCAAGATCGGCATGGATGCTACCAGCCCAGCTCTGGAAACCATGTTTAGCATCCTTTCTACTCTAGAGCAAGAGGTGGGCAGGGGCTGGGGAGAGAGGCCTGTGCCTGTATGTTTGGGAAGGCCCATCCAAAGAGCAGGTCCCAGCTGTTCTTCCTCAGTTGTTGCATTTGGTTCAAGTTTTGGGAGACTGGCCTTTGCAACTGCCTGTGCGGTCTTTGACCCAAGCAGTATGTGGAATGGGAGCTGGGGCAAGGAGGTGACGAACCTGGCCGATGTGGATGAGACCCACACTACTCGGGCACCCGGGGGAAGTGTCCTTGGGCTGGGCATCTTCAGAGCTGCCAACGCGGGCACGGTGGCCTCCCCGCTCCCTTCTGTGGCCTTCCCTCAAGGGCAGCTTCAGGGCTGGTCCTGAGATGGAGTTCCCCAAGGAAGAGCGATGGGTAAGGCCAAAAAGAGGGTGTTGGAGTCCCCAAGAGGACCGACCCTTTGCTGTCTCCGGGAAAGCAAGTGCAGGAGGGTGTGGGAAGGGATCTCTCCGTGAGTCTGAGTTTGAATCGTTCGTTCCTTCCTCTGCTGCAGATGAGTGAGAGCGAGACTCTCATCAGTATGGTGAACCGCATGGTGGAGAGCTCCTCCCCCAGGGCCCAGCTCTTCATGCAAGTAAGGCCTCTGCCTGGCAGCATGGTCTCTGTCGACACCCTTTCAGCTGCTTGTGCATGGTCGAGTCCACCCATCTGGGAAGGGGCTTGCTCCGCCCAACCCATTCATCTGCCAGGCCCCACCGCCCAGGCTCCGCCGGGTCTCCCTCCGTTATGTCCCCTGTGTTTCCTCCATTCTTCACGTTCATGGACACATCCAAGGCCCATTTCCCAAACCATCCAAGTAGCCAGCACCGACATCTCATGCCTGCCAGGGATTCGAATGTGCTTTTCAATGTCTAGGACTTCTGTTTTATACTTGGCGTCTTCTCCACAGACATTACTGGGGTGAAGGGCGTGGGGGTGTGATGTGGAACCACCCAGTGCCAAAGGTGTGAAGAGTGTGCTGTGGTCACCGGACGAGTCATCAAGGGCAGGGAGCATGTACTGGACCCAGAGACATTTCTGAATATGTATCAATCTGGTTTAGGCACAAGCCTTGTGACTGGTATTCAACCCACTAGGTCAATAATTCTCAACTATTTCCAGCGCTCATTCTATTCTCCCATGTTCTATCCTCATCCACAGCTGCAGGGTAACTGTTGTTCTCGTGATTGTTACCAATAAGCCGTCTGGGAGCTACATGCCCTTCGAGTCCCTCTTGGCAGTAGATCCTAGAGCGTAGGGAAGAGCAGACACACAGTATGTCTCTCTAGAATCAGCTGAGGACAATGGAAATGGAGCCTAGACTAGGCCATCCCAGGCTTCCCAGCCAGAGGATGGAGAACGCGCTCAGCTCAGGGTCCCAGATGGATGCTCCCAGAGGTGCTGTGCCGTGGTCTCTGGCAAAAATGGAGCAAGGACTGTCACTTTGCTGCCTCCACGTGCTCTTCTGCCCCCTGCTGCAGTAACCGGCCTCATGTTCCTGCAGGTCCCTCCGTACCCAGAAGTGTTCCGGGACAGCCTCCACACCTACAAGCTAAACGAACAAGACACAGATGTAAGAGCAGCTCTCCTGCTCCCTCTGTCCACTCAGCCCCTCGCGCTGCCCTCGTCCTCGAGCTCCTGCGCGGGGCTCCTCGCCTCCATCCGTCTCTCCTCTTCATGCATTTGATCCATGTCCTCTCTCACGGCAAAGACAACCTTCTGCCTGTCCCTCCTCATCCCCCTTCCTTTCTCGTTCTTCCCACTCGCCCCTGCCTCCCTCGCCGGCTGTGTGCTTCCCCATGACCCCCCGCCCCTTGTCTCCAGCAGTGGGACCTGCTTATCACAGGCACACAGACTTTGTTAGGAGGTCAGTCGTAGTCCCCAGGTAACTGGCAAGAAGCATATGGCCATGCCCCGGCCCTCGGGGGCTTCAGGGTAGTGGCAGACACCAGGTGACAGTAGGTAGCAGCGTAAGGTTCATACACTGAACGGCCCCATCAGAGGTTCTGCAGGAGTGTGGCATAGTGAGACCATGTGGGCTGGTGGGTCAGGGTCACACAGGTAGCATGGGAGCTGGCCTTGAACTCAAAGGCCCAGAGGGCAAGGTCTGGTTCAGGGGAAAGGCGCGCGGGGTGTTCTGCACGTCGGAGAGCACACGTCCTTCCAGAAGAGAAGTGTGGCCTAGCCTGCATCCTCCCCTCCCCACTGGCCTTGCCCGGGTACAGATCTGCCCGGCAGGCCTGGGAAAGGCTCCATCCAGGCAAAGACCAGACCTCCGGGCGACCCCGGCATCAGCCATGCTGAGACCCTGGAGGGGGGAGGGGAGACCAGGGCGTGGGGAACGAGTTTTTATTCACTGGTTTCTTTTATTTATTTTTCTTTATTGATTTTAGAGCAAGAGGAAGGGAGAGGGAGGGAGAGAAAAACGTTGATGAGAGAGAACATCGATTGGCTGCCCCTGCAGGCCCCACGGGGGATCTGGCCCAGAACCTGGGCATGTGCCCTGGCGGGGAGTTGAACTGGCGACCTCTGGGTGCATGGGTTGGTGCTCAACCACTGAGCCACACTGGCTGGCAGTTCACTGGTTTTCTACCTACCCCTCGAGTCCATACCCACAGAGGAGGCCTGGAAGGTCAGGCCGTATGATCCCCACCCCTCTGAATTGGGAGCCCTGGGAGGACAGGCACGGAGGAGCTTAACGGTTGGCTCTCTTCTGTCAGGCTGCCTCACTTCCTCAGAGAACAAACACACCTCCCCTCTCAGTGGGCACTTGGGGAGTCTCCCAAGGTAAAGCCTGGCTTCCTGTTCCCAGGAGTTTCCCAAATCAAGGCGAAGGGCTAGGGTTTCTCAGCAGGGGAAGGAAGGCGGTATCCAGAGGCCGGGCCCTGCCACTCCAAGTTTCAGGTCCCCAGCCAACCGTGTCCTTCACCCCCTTCTCTCTCCCTTCTTCCTCCTACTCCCTTGGGACCCCAGAAGTTGCTGGGCAAATTGTGTGAGCAGAACAAGGTGGTGAGGGAGCAGGACCGGCTGGTGCAGCAGCTCCGAGCTGAGAAGGTGAGAGCCACGGGGTGGCCTGCAGTGGGGACACGTCGGGGGCTGGCGTGGAGGTGTGGGCCGCTCGCTCCCTCCTGACTAAACTGGCAGCGCTCTGCCCTCCGCGAGTGTCCGTCCTGCCCTTATCAGACCTCGAAGCTCTCCGGGGCCTGAGGCTGTGTGAGGACACCCTCCTCTACTCGGCCTGGTGGACCTCTGGGCTCAGGCCTGTGTTGCTCACAGCCCAGGAGCTGTCGGCAGCTCAGAGCCGTTCCCCTGCCTCCCTTCAGGAGAGCCTGGAAAGTGCCTTGATGGGGACCCACCAGGAGCTGGAGATGTTCGGAAGCCAGCCCGCCTACCCAGAGAAGCTGCTGCATAAGAAGGAGGCGCTGCAGAACCAGCTCATCAACATCCGGGTGGAGCTGTCGCAGGCAACAACGGTAACCAGAGCGCGGGGCCTGCGCCACCTGGAGAGCCTCCCCTCCCGGGTGGCGCTCCCAACCCCGGGTCCCCTCAGAGGGCCGGAGCGGGGTGCTCCTTTAACACGCCCTTGCAAAGGGCCGCGCTAAGCCAGGCTGCTCGCTCCATCGTCTCCAGGGACACTGGCACTTTTTCCAACTACAGCTGCACCGGATTTGTTCAGGGCGGCGTAAAATCAAGGCCACTCATTTTTCTTGGCTGCTCTAAGACTTTTGCTGACCACCTCTGCGGCTCCCCCGGGGACCCTGGACACCAGCAGCCATGCTTCTGTCCTAGTCACTTCCTGGTGGGCACAGGGCAGGCCTCCAGTACCAATGGCCTGGGTAGTAGCTCCGGGGACTGCATCAGAAGCCCCAGGAAAGTGTGGCCCAGAAAGGAGAGCAAACCCCTTCCCTCCACCTCCTTTCATTTGTCCTCCACTTTGAATTGTCCAGTCTGGGCCAGCGGGAGGGTGAGGGAGTGCTGTCCACCCTCCAGCCTTGCACATATCCGGAGAGGATGCCGCTTTTTCTTTATTTTGGTTTGCAGCAGGGTGGGCTGTGGCATCTTGTGTAAGGCTGGTGTTTGGCTGTCATTAGAATGGGCCCTCTCCTCCTGGCCCTCTGTGCCTCCCCCAGACCTCAGGCACCCTGGCCCCAGGCCCATGGAGGAGGAGGAGGACCCTGGGCGGTGGCTTCTTTCTCAGTACACCCTCCCCGTGCAGGCCCTGACCAACAGCACCCTGGAGTATGAGAACCTGGAGGCGGAGGTCTCTGCCCTGCACGATGACCTCTGGGAACAGCTCCACGTGGACATGCAGGTGAAGAGTGCCCCTGGGCATCTGGGGGTGACGTGTGCATTGGGCCTTCCCTTGTCATTTTGGCCCAAAGAGACCAGACTGGCTTCCTTTCTTGCTTGAGAGACTTCAGGCTTAAGACGAGGAGTCGATTCTGAGACAAAAGGCAAGGTTCAGGGCCGCTTGAAGCCGACTCTGCATTTCAGGATGAAGATAATGGGGGATTCTTCAGGTCCATCAAATGACGGGTGGAGTTGAGTAGGAGCATAGGAATTCCACTAGGTGTGAGATGTTTTGGACTGAAAGGAGTGAGCAGGCGTGTAATGTGAGTGCAAGGCACATGCAAACCTCTGGACATCAGCAGGGCACCGTCCGAAGCCATGCGCGTGGGCATGCACCTTGAGACGGGCTTTCCTGTCTGGGCCTCGTTAGACACTCCGTCTGGGCAGCGGCCGGCCGTGTTGACCGGGGGCCTCTTGTTCTTCGCGTCCCTCGGTCTTTTCTCTGCCCAGCCACTCACGTCCCGCCCTCTTCTCTAGCTGGCACTGCAAGCCCCGTTTCTCTGACGTAGTTAAAACCCTGGTCTCCCCAGTTTCCCTCCTGTTTCCCACCCCGGTAAGGAAGCCCCCCACCCCAGCCTTGCAGCTGCTTAGGGAGTGGGGTGAAGGCCCGCCTGGTGCAGCGGGCCCCATGTCGCCAGGGTCTGGGCAGGGTTAGGAGGCAGGGCAGTGTTGTGATCAAGACCACCAGCTTTTGGAACAAATGAACCCAGATCCAGATGGTAGTCGCGCAACTCACTAGCGGGCGGTCGGGCCTGAGTCCCTCCATCTCCGAGGTGGGCACAGCTCCGCCCTCGCCGGAGCTGGGAAGCCGAAACGGGTTCGCGTGTGCCCAGCACTGAGCGCGTGGCCTGCCGGGCGGTGCTGCGTGAGTGGCGGCTGGTATTTCTCGGAGGGGGTCCCGTATCGGAACAGAATGTATGAGTATTTAGGCATGTGCTGGGGGCTGTTAAAGACCGATTTGGAGTGGAAGAGAAACAGGGACTAGATGCTCTCAGCCCTGGAAAACAGGCCACCATGAAATGTCCACTCGAAGGGCCTTCCCGCTGAGACGGCCCTGTCGCCCCTGGAGCAGCTCTGAGGGGCGAGTCCTCACTCTTGGTTCTGAGTCTCAGATTTACCTACAGGGTCTCTTTACTGTGATGGTGGAGTCTCTCCTCTGGCAACTCAGACTCTGTTGTAGGGAGGCTGGAGAAGCAGAGGCTGCCCATGAGAAAGATGGTGTGCTAGGGGGTGTGTGTGCTGGAGGTGTGTGTGTGCAAGAGGGATGTGTGTATGTATGTGTGTGCTGGAGGTGTGTGTGTGTGCTGGAGGGATTGTGTGTGCAAGAGGGATGTGTGTATGTATGTGTGTGCTGGAGGTGTGTGTGTGTGCTGGAGGGATTGTGTGTGCAAGAAGGATGTGTGTGTGTATGTGTGTGCTGGAGGTGTGTGTGTGTGCAAGAGGGATGTGTATATGTATGTGTGTGCTGGAGGGATTGTGTGTGCAAGAGGGATGTGTGTATGTATGTGTGTGCTGGAGGTGTGTGTGTGTGCTGGAGGGATATGTGTGTGCAAGAGGGATGTGTGTGTGTGCTGGAGGGATGTGTGTATGTATGTGTGTGCTGGAGGTGTGTGTGTGTGCTGGAGTGATGTGTGTATGTATGTGTGTGCTGGAGAGGTATATGTGTTTTGAGGGGTGTGTGTGTGTGCTGGAGAGGTATGTGTGTGATTTTGAGGGGTGTGTATGGTGGAGGGATGTGTGTGTGTGTGCGCACGTGCTGGAGCTGTGTGTGTGTACACACACTTGCGTGCACAAGGCCCCTGCCCGCTGCCGGGTGAAGGGATGTGGGGAAAGGGCTGGGACCCTCCTCGGCAGTCCCTTCCTTTGACCTGCCCTGTGGCTCCTTCAGAACGAGGCGCTCAGCCGGCAGATCCAGAAGGAGATTTGGAGGATCCAGGATGTGATGGAGGGGCTCAGGAAGAACAACCCCTCCCGGGGCACCGACACGGCCAAGCACAGAGGTGGGCGCCTCCCCCACCAGCCCCGGGGCTTCTGGCTTCACCAGAAACGCTCCGGTGTTCTGGCCTGCACCCCACACCCGCCAGCTCACACTTCTCTGGGCCCTCACTCTGTGCTCAGACCAGTAAGGGCCTTCTCAGCACCCCAGAATCTTCCCTGGGCCCTGGGATGGGGGGTGGGACTCCCTTACCTGCCACTCTGAGATGCTTTTGACCCCGATGCCCTAGGTTCCTCCCCAGAAAAGGTCAAAGAGCACCTGAGCCTCCCAACCCCTAAGCCATGGGCCCCTCGGTGGTCTGAGACCTCCACTTGAGTGTCTTCTTTCAGCCTTGGGACCCAGGGCTGGCTTTCTTTGATCCCTTGGGGGCAACAGGGCCTTCGTCACCCTCCCCTGTACAGCACACCTCTCGGCCTGTGACCCAGCCCAAGAGTAAGTCCCTGTGGCAGGCTCAGGTGGCCCAAATCTTCCCTCTCATGTCCTTGGGCCCCCCGCCTCCTCCGCCTACATAGCCCATCCACACTCCAGCCTGCCCCTACCCACCCCTCATCTTTGTCCTCTTGTTCACCCCAGGAGGACTCGGCCCCTCGGCCACCTGCAGCTCCAACAGCCCTGCCAGCCCTCTCAGCTCCGCCAGCCTCACCAGTCCCCTGAGCCCCTTTTCACTAGTGTCTGGCTCTCAGGGGTCCCCCACCAAGTCTGGGTCCAACGAGGTAAGCTGATGAAATGGAGGAGAAGGTCCTTGGGGGAGGACCAGGTCCTCATTTGCCTGAAACGATACAAAGCCTGTGCCCACCTCGTTCCCAGAGGCCCAGTCCTAGGGCTCGGGCGTCCCGTCCAAGGCGGTCATTCGCACATCCGGTGTGGCCTTCCCTCCAGGTTTCTCCTTCGCCTGCCCTCGTCTTCCTCTGCATCTCTAGCTTCCTTCCGGGGCCTTGTCTTCCTGAGCACCGGGATGGGTAGCAAAGATACCACACACTTGATAGGAATTTAAGTCCAGGATTGTTCCAAGCGGTGACGGGGTTGAGGTCTGGTGCGGGGAAGGTGTCCTAGGCAGTCCATCAGCACGCGTTCACTGAGGCTCCTGTGGAAGAGGGGTGGGGGAGCCCTCTCAGAAAGACACCCACGCACACCCAAGCCTCCACTCGGGAGCCCAGCGTCCAGTGGGGCCCAGACCCATGCACAGTGAAGAACCGGCCTCAGGACCCTGGCGCCGTGCGTCTCGACTGTGAGCCACGTGGTTCAGACCATAAATGCTTGGGTGTCTCAAAGAGAGGGTGGAGCTTGAGCTGGGCCCTGCGGCAGGGGACGGAGGGGACAAGCCCTCCCGGCAGAGGGGAGCACAGCACTGGGTGGGAGGTGTCCGTGTGGTGGCGAGGCAGAGGAGGGAACCTGGAGAAGAGCGGGGTGTGACGGGCACTGACGCTCGGTGGAGAGCCGCAAGGCCAGGCAGGGCGTTGGCTCTGTGGTGGCGCTCTGTCCAGGCCTTGATGGGGTTGGTGGTCCGGGGTCCGGTCTCGGCAACGTTGTCTGCTCTGCTAACGCTCTTTTCTCCTGCTCTCACAGTGGCCGCCCTTGTTCCTCCTAATGCTCTGGCTTCTCTCTGCCTCAGGAGCCTGGCCCACCACGGCCCCCCCTCCCCAAAGCCTACGTCCCCCTGGAGTCTCCTCCCACCGTGCCTCCTCTCCCTAGCGAGAGCCACTTCTGGCCATACCCCAACTCCCCTTCCTGGCACTGCGGTGGCGAGACAGCCAGGGGTCAGGTACCCAGCACCCTTGGGTCCTGGAGGGCAGGGGTGGAGGGAACGGGACAAAAGGCAAGGCCAGGGGCGAGGTAGGCCACTGGGTCATTTCCCCATTCCAGTACTGATTCTCCCACACTGACTTTCTGCTCGCTCTGTCTGCTCGGACTCTGGCGTCAGGAAAGGGCTGGTTGACACTCACGCAGGCCCTCTTCCCTTCCTGCTTTCTGTGCACCGTGGGGAAATGAGCCGAGCCCTGCCCCGTGCCCAGGTCCTGGGCGGCCTTGGCCAGGGGTGGTGGTATGACCCACTCCCTACCAGCATGACCAGATGGTGGGAATCGAGCCCCCCCCCCCCCCGACATACTGGTACCATTCCAACATCCTGTTCCTGTCCACCCCAGACCCCATCCTCTCAGGCTCTCTGTCGGCCTTGCCCGTGTCTTCTGAGGCTTGCCAGCCCCTGGGATGTAAGGGTACAGGCCCCTGTCTCCCCTCTTCTGGCCCTTCTCTCGCCGGGACCCCTAGTGAATCCAGGAGAGGCGAGCAGTTAGGCTTGGAGAAGTTGCTCAGAGAGAAGGCAGAGTCTCCGTGCCTGAAAGTGGGAAACTCATATCTCATCTCAGCTACTGGTGTGTGCACAGCCCCGAGGGCCTGTCCAGTGAGGCAGGCAGAGGAGGTGACAACACCTGTTTCACAGGTGAAGGAAGGTGGGAGCCCCTTACAGGTGAAGGAAGGTGGGGGCCCCTTACAGGTGAAGGAAGGGGGGAGCCCCTTACAGGCAATGGAAGGTGGCAGCCCCTTACAGGTGATGGAAGGTGGGGGCCCCTTACAGGTGAAGGAAGGTGGGGGCCCCTTACAGGTGAAGGAAGGTGGGAGCCCCTTACAGGTGAAGGAAGGTGGCAGCCCCTTACAGGTGAAGGAAGGTGGGAGCCCCTTACAGGTGAAGGAAGGTGGCAGCCCCTTACAGGTGAAGGAAGGTGGCAGCCCCTTACAGGTGAAGGAAGGTGGGAGCCCCTTACAGGTGAAGGAAGGTGGCAGCCCCTTACAGGTGAAGGAAGGTGGCGGCCCCTTACAGGTGAAGGAAGGTGGGAGCCCCTTACAGGTGAAGGAAGGTGGCAGCCCCTTACAGGCGAAGGAAGGTGGGAGCCCCTTACAGGCGAAGGAAGGTGGCAGCCCCTTACAGGTGAAGGAAGGTGGGAGCCCCTTACAGGGGAAGGAAGGTGGCGGCCCCTTACAGGTGAAGGAAGGTGGGAGCCCCTTACAGGTGAAGGAAGGTGGCAGCCCCTTACAGGTGAAGGAAGGTGGGAGCCCCTTACAGGTGAAGGAAGGTGGCAGCCCCTTACAGGTGAAGGAAGGTGGGAGCCCCTTACAGGCGAAGGAAGGTGGCAGCCCCTTACAGGTGAAGGAAGGTGGGAGCCCCTTACAGGTGAAGGAAGGTGGGAGCCCCTTACAGGCGAAGGAAGGTGGCAGCCCCTTACAGGGGAAGGAAGGTGGCGGCCCCTTACAGGTGATGGAAGGTGGGGGCCCCTTACAGGTGAAGGAAGGTGGCAGCCCCTTACAGGTGAAGGAAGGTGGGAGCCCCTTACAGGTGATGGAAGGTGGCAGCCCCTTACAGGTGAAGGAAGGTGGGAGCCCCTTACAGGTGAAGGAAGGTGGGAGCCCCTTACAGGCGAAGGAAGGTGGCAGCCCCTTACAGGTGAAGGAAGGTGGGAGCCCCTTACAGGTGAAGGAAGGTGGCAGCCCCTTACAGGTGAAGGAAGGTGGCAGCCCCTTACAGGGGAAGGAAGGTGGCAGCCCCTTACAGGTGAAGGAAGGTGGGAGCCCCTTACAGGTGAAGGAAGGTGGGAGCCCCTTACAGGTGAAGGAAGGTGGGAGCCCCTTACAGGTGAAGGAAGGTGGGAGCCCCTTACAGGTGAAGGAAGGTGGGAGCCCCTTACAGGTGAAGGAAGGTGGCGGCCCCTTACAGGTGAAGGAAGGTGGGAGCCCCTTACAGGTGAAGGAAGGTGGCAGCCCCTTACAGGTGATGGAAGGTGGCAGCCCCTTACAGGTGAAGGAAGGTGGCAGCCCCTTACAGGGGAAGGAAGGTGGCAGCCCCTTACAGGTGAAGGAAGGAGGCAGCCCCTTACAGGTGATGAAAGGTGGCAGCCCCTTACAGGTGATGGAAGGTGGGAGCCCCTTACAGGTGAAGGAAGGTGGCAGCCCCTTACAGGTGAAGGAAGGTGGGAGCCCCTTACAGGTGAAGGAAGGTGGTAGGACATCCCATGCTCTCTAGCTTTGCTGGAGTGGAGGGTTCTGACCTGTGGCCTAGGCTTTTCTCTGTGTCTCTCACTGAGACTTAGATTCTTCAACCGCACGACGGGAGGGGGTGAGCGGACGATGGCTGAGGTCCTTCTAGTCTCCTGATTCTGTGAGCCTCAAGCTCAGTGCCCCTTGCCTGCCCCAGAATCCTGGTTCCAAAACTTACCTGGTTCTTTGTTCACGTCTCGGGTAGGGTCCTGACAGAATCCTCAGAGCTCCTTGGCCTTATAGCCCCTTCTTAGCTGGCTCACAGAAAGTCTGTGCTTATTGGTGCTTTCCAAGGGGACCGGCCATGTTGAGGGGCCTCCTGGAGGGTGACCCCTCATTCCCCAAGAGGACCTTGCATTGGCCAGCCTGATGCTTCCTTGTCCACTTCGTAACTGGCACACATAGAGTATTCCTGTTGTCCTGTGTTTTCAAGGGTGTGCATGCCAACCATTGCTGAACAAAGAAATATCACTGGGGGCCTAATTCCTGGCAGTCACTCTAGCATTAAGCATCTTCTCATCCTTTCTTCCCAGCTCAAGGCAAGCTATGAGCTAAGCAAGAAAGAGCCCCACCAGACATTGCCCTTGGACGCCTCCAGAGACATAAGCCTCATGCCGACCAGGCAAGAGGTAGAGGCAGAGAAGCAGGCTGCTCTCAACAAAGGTACTTCCTGTCCCGTCTTCCCCTAGAAGTAAGTCTAAGGGTCAGAGAGGGGCCCAGGGAGGTGCCCACTCACACCCAAGGAGAGTGCTTACCCACCGGGCCCTTCTCCACGGCAGCTGAGACCGAGCCTCGCTGAGAAGCAGGCCTCCCTGTCTCTCTGCCTTCCTCTCTCCGTGAGGCCCACTGGCTGCTCTGTCTCCCTGCAGTTGGCATTGTGCCCCCACGGACAAAGTCACCCGCGGATGAAGAGGTGACGCCATCCAGGGTGGTGAGGAGGAATGCCAACGGGCTCCCCAATGGAGTCTCCGCCCGGGTAAGTGCACCTGCTGGTCGAGAGCTCCGGGAGGCTGCCCGGGCCAGGAGCCCGGGCCTCTGCGTGGGCACCAAGGCTGGCGGAGGAAGGCCGGCAAGCGGCAGGAGGGCAGCGCCCCACTGGATGGAGGAGGGGCTTCTTCAAGGAGACGGGGCAAGGGACAGGGAACACATGCACAACAGTGATTTAAAAATTACTGAACAAAAGTATCATGATGTGCCCAGGATGAAATACCAGGGCAGCAAAAACCAGTGGTCAGAGTCCACCGTGCTGGCCAGAGCAGTGTGTTAGGGTTGGGCCACTAGGAAATGAACACAATGCCACGAACTTGGTAGTTTAAAACAACGGAAGTTTATTTTCTCACGGTTGTGGAGGCCAGAGTCTGCAGTCAAGGTGTTGGCGGGTTGGCCCCTTCCGGAGGCCGTGAGGGAGTCCCCTCTGTGCCACCCTCCCGGCCTGTGGTCGCTGGCGATGTGCAGCATTCTCGGCTCGTCGGCACATCACTCCGGTCTCTGCCTCCACCTTCACGTCACCTACTCCATGTGTCTTCCTGTCTCCCATAAGGACACCCAGTACTGGCTTTAGGGTGACCCTGATTAGTATGATCTTGAGATCCCTAACTTAATTACACCTGTAAAGACCCTGTTTCGAAATGAGGTCACATTCACAGGTCCTGGGGGATCAAGACTTGGACATATCTTTTGGGGACCACTATTCAATTTACTACAGGCAAGCTTCCCAGAGAGGGGAAATCGTAAGGGACTAGGGCAGATGGAAAAGCTGGGTGAAGGAGGTGGCGCCGGTTAGAGCCTTGTGTCCCACTGCAGCAAGAGCGCCCCAAGAGCGCGGTGTTCCCGGGTGAGGGCAAGGTCAAAATGAGCGTGGAGGAGCAGATTGACCGCATGCGGCGGCACCAGAGCGGCTCCATGAAGGAGAAGCGGAGGAGCCTCCAGCTCCCAGCCAGCCCGGCCCCCGACCCCAGCCCTCGGCCAGCCTACAAAGTAGTAAGTCCTCCCAGACACCCACAGACATGGCCTGACTCCTGGGTGCAGCCAGCCTGGGCTGGAGTGTTGGGGGTGGCTGGGGTTTAGGCGGGGGGGGGGGGGGGGCGCAAAGCTGGGCACCTGGGAGAATTGAGGAGGCTTCTGCCCACTGGGCCCAGGAGATCTTGCAACAGTGTTTCTGTTTTGTGTTCAAAGAAAAATAAGTCACAAAAAGGAATGCCTTGATTGTTTTGGTTGCAACAAATTATCTAAAGTTCAGTTAATAGATGATAGTACAAAGCCCACCCCCCAGAAGTAGGCATCCCTTAAAAAGGTTTCTAGAGCACTTTCTGTGTGTTAGTTTAGCATTGGGCTGACTGTATGAAAGGTAATCGTGGTTGCTCAGCATTGCGTGGCTCAAAACAGTCCACACATGCCTTCATGTTCTCTCGTTCAGTCTTTTCAACACATGGGTTAGGAATTATTATCCTTATTTTAGAAATAGAGAAACAAAATTGCAAGAAATTAAGGGAGTCCCGGGCCACATAGCCATCAAGTGCAGAGCTGGGAGGAGCCCAAGCATCTGCCTAATTTTTCTTTCTACCCAGTATCTGAAATATGCAACAACTATGACTCATCAGTCTTGCCCTCAAACAGCTGACATTCTAGTTGGTGGGTTGGAACGTCTATAATGTGAAATGAGTAGAGATTCATGTAAGACACACTAAATCAACTGCCCAAATTTATGTCACAGGTGAACTAAGGGCCCAGCAGGACAGGGAGGGACAGGTATTGGTGAGAGATATTGATGAAGTTTTCCCCCTAGGCCCTTGTAGGTGGGCAGGCTTTGGACAAGCCATATGGCAGGGTAGCTCTGCAGTGGGGGCCGAGGAGGCAGCCGGATTGGGGGTGCTGTGTAGGGGCATGAGGACGTGGCATGGGTAGGGCTCCCTGGAGGCATGGGCAGAAGTGGAAGTGCCCACGTGCCCTAGGTGCGCCGCCACCGCAGCATCCACGAAGTGGACATCTCCAACCTGGAGGCGGCCCTGCGGGCGGAGGAGCCTGGTGGGCGGGCCTATGAGACACCGAGGGAGGAAATCGCCCGGCTTCGCAAGATGGAGCTGGAGCCCCAGCACTATGATGTGGACATCAATAAGGAGGTAAGCGGGGTCCGGGGCGGAGGGGGAGTAGAAGCCCTGGGAGGGCCGGGGTGATGGCCTCGGTCCCTCCACAGCTCTCCACCCCAGACAAAGTGCTCATCCCTGAGCGGTACGTTGACCTGGAGCCCGACCTGCCCCTGAGCCCCGAGGAGTTGAAGGAGAAGCAGAAGAAGGTGGAAAGGATCAAGACGCTCATTGCCAAGTCCAGGTAACAGGCCTGCGTGAACCTCTCCTTCTGCCCACCTGGCACCTAGGACACCTGGGACACTAGTGCCACTGACTCCAGCACTCCAACCCATGTTGTCGGGGACCCTGAGCCTCCCCAGAGTGGGGCCAATGGAGGCGGTGGCTCCGGGCCGCACCCTGCGGCAGGACAGTGGACTGCCATCGGCTGCCCAAGGGACCACTGAACTCACGCACGTGCTCTAATCAAGACACTGGTGGGTTGCCCTCTGGTGATTTCTCCCCTTCAAGGCAGCCCCAAATGTTTACTTGAACTTTCTCATTCACTTTGAAACATTGTGGGTAAGGGTCCCAACATGTGTTTTGCCAGGTACCACTCACCCCTGGGGTCAGCCTTGTTGGGGACCAGAGCCTGCACATGCCCTTGCCCCCCCTGCCAACCTCAGTGCACAGGTCCCCCCACCATGTCTGTGTGTCTGTGCCTCTTCAGTATGCAGAACGTGGTGCCTGTCGGCGAGGGGGACCTTGTGGACGTGCCCCAGGACTCAGAGAGCCAGCTGCAGGAGCAGGAGAAGCGGATTGAAATCTCCTGCGCCCTGGCGACCGAGGCCTCCCGCAGGGGCCGCATGCTGTCTGGTGAGAGGGGCTGGGCCTCGCTCCGCCAGGGAGACGCTGACCACTTGCAGGGGAGGAGGCACGGCGCTGTGCGGGGTCAGGAAAGAGGACAGGGCAGGATGAGCATTTGGCGCCAGGCGCTGTGCCAGGCTCAGGGTGAGAGAGGCCGGAGTTGTTGCCGCGCAGGAGCTCAGGGATGATGACCGTCCTCACCCTGGATGGAGGCAGGCCCAAGACCATGCAAGGGGCACTGGAGCCGTTCTACCTGGGAAGGCACAGGGAAAGGTGGCGGCCGACTTGACGGGGAAAGATAAAGTATTTACCAGTTGTGGGGTGAGGGCCAGGTTTTCCAGGGTGTCCTTTCACGCCCCCTTCTTGCTGCATGCAGAGAGGAGGAATAAGAGAAGGCGGTGCAAGGAACCCAGGAGCTGGGCGTGATGCAGTCACCACTCTGGCTACTGACCCCCAGGCACTTTTCTGCTAGGAAAAGATGAGTGAGGAACTGACTTCACACTGGTGCACAGGGCAGCAGGTCCCACGTGCAGAGGTTAAAGTCAACAGGAGTCACTGCTACTCAGAGGAGACAGCCTGGAGTGATGAGGGTGTAATTGGCAAGAATGAAATGAACGAAGATGGGAAGAGTTAAAGAGATTCTTTAGGAAAGGTAGAGGAGAGACAGTGGTTAAGTCATGAAGACTGGAAGACGAAATATTTCCTCCCCATCAGGACAAGGTGGTTGGGATGGAGAGAGAGAGGGAAGATGAGGGCTTGGAAGGCCAATCGAGAGGGATGCCCTGGCAGAGTGCCAGCTTTGATGACTTTGGTCAAGGAAACGGAGACAGGGATTCTGGCCACAGTCACAGCCGCCTGGCGGAGACTCGGGCAAGCAGCAGATAAGGACTGTGGCCAGGAGCGCAGTGGAGGGGATGGCGTCTCATGTTGGTATTTAAGAAGGTTCGAGTTCTGGCTCTCTGAGGCTCCAGTTCCTCATCTGTAAGATTCAAACCAAAACACCCGTCTGGTGTGAGGAACGGGTGCGATGTGTGCCAAGCACCCAGCCCAGTGCCAGGCACCAGCACGTGTTCAGTGAAGCCTGGCAGTGGTGCTGGTGATGATCGTGGCACTAGCTGAAGTAGAAATAGGAGCTGTTTGTGCTTTTTACAGCTATGCTAAATATGGATATTTTCAGAAACCAGAGGTTTTCGGGCTACAATGGAAGGGATTTAAGTAAGCTTTAAGGAAGGACCTACTGGCACTGAGGGTACAAGGGACATTAGACAGGTGGCCAGGGGAAGTCCCTGGAGATATTTCCGAGAGAGGCTCTCAGTGTGCTGGAGCTCGGGGTGGGCTGAGCCCACCCCGTAGCCAGAAGGCAGCGGAACCAGTTTGGTTGCAAGGAGGCCTCTGTCAGACCGCCCTGTAGTTGAGCTTTAAAAGGAACCTGAACCCTCCAAAGATCAAATTCCACATGCGCTGGGCAAAAGGAAACTTCCTGTTTTTTGTTTTGTTTTGTTTTGTTGACAAAGAAAAGGAGAGGGAGAGATAGAGACATCGATGAGAGAGAACATTGATTGGCCGCCTCCTGCATGCCCCCCACTGGGGATTTGGCCCACAACTTGGGCATGTGCCCTGACCAGGAATCGAACTGGCAACCTCTTGGTGCATGGATTGACGTGCGCCCACTGAGTCGCACCAGCTGGGCTACAGGATTGTTTTTAATATTTCCCTCTGCCCTGCCCCAGCCCCTGGCTCTCTCTACGGCAGCTCCCCAGCCAAAGGTTCCACAAAAACAAAGTGTGCCCGGCCTATCAGATCTCCTCCGCACACACTGGCTTACATTTCAGGGTCTGTGCGCTGAAAGCATGCGGTCGCCTGGCGTTTGCCAAAACCCCAACTATTTAAAAAATGGTTGTGGCAGGCCCAGACCTCAGATTTAGCTCACTGTCCCCACCGCCCAGAGTCTGTGGTCCACATTCCCAGAGCTGTGACCTGCCAGGCACAGTGAGGACTGTTCCCGGGCACGCACAGTGCATAGGTCCATGCTGGGGACATGTGTGCGTGGGCGTGCTGGGCACGGGTCGTGAGGACAGTGCAGCAGACACAGGATGCAGCGTTGGAGCCGAGTGTGGGGGTGTGGCATGGACGGTGTGGTCAGTGGCGAGTGTTGCAGCATTTGGCAATAACAGCCGGTGTGTACAGACTCAACTACGCAGTCTATGGGAAGGTGTGGCGGTTTTCAGGTTGTGCATATGGCATGAGGCCGTGTGCAGTGTCTGTGTTGGTAATGTTTGTAGATAAACACGTATTTGTGTGTATTCAAGTGTGTGGTATGTGGGGGAGGGAATGGTTGAGTACAAATATAGGAATATGTATGTATGCGTCTATATGTGTGCAAAATGTCGATGGGTGTTGGGTGGAGACCCAGTATTTGTGAGTACAGGTGGCATTTGGTAAGCTGTTGGAGTATAGCTCCATGCGCACATGGGGGAACAATGCAAGGTGGAGACAGTGTTGGTGAACGCATGTGCTCAGGTGCATGGCTTTGCAGTATGGGGCATGATAAAAACATGTCTGTGTATATGTTGTGCATAGTGTATATACTGCAATATTTGTGCACACCCACCTCTGTGCGGTTTGAGGGGGCACAGACTCATGATTGTGAGTGTGTACAGCTGAGTATTTATGCATGCATATGGGATAGTACTTGTGAACACAATTATAATATCACATCTGTCTAGTACATCCCTGCTGCATATATGTTTTAATTATTCCAATGGATGTATTTCTCTGCCTTCTTAAAACAAGTGATCTTGTTTGACAATCTTTTCTCCTCTTGCTCCTTTAGTATCACTGTAAACAGCCTTACTTTGCTGACCAAAGGAACGCCCTTAGGGTTTTTAATTGGTTCAGATCCATTTGTAGCTATGTCAAATGCTCCCCAACTGTTACACTTTTAAAGATACTATGTCTACTTTTTGCAAAAGATTTCTCTCTTCAGTTGTGCTTTCTTATGGATGTCAATGGGCCGCTCAATTCCTCTCTCCTGGAGTTTTCTTGTTTTTACTCCCCCGTGGGCTAGAAACCCAGCCAGTCAACACCTTAGAATTGTGTATAAATAAGGATAACTGGACTCCCAGGGGCTCTTCTGTAAGTTGTAAGAACTTCCCTGCAGGTGCATTGGAACATCTCTTAGGCCTCCTTGAGACGGCCTTTGCTCAGCTTTTGAGTTGTTGACTGTTTTAGAAACTGAGGTTGCTAGAGAACTACCCATCATGATACAGACGGGCACAGGAATGTGTTTCGAAAGCACCTGTGCATGTTATCTGTATGTGAAGTTACAGGTGTGCTGGCCACATGGAAGTGCACGAACACACATGTCTGAGTTGTGTGCAGTCAGTAAAGATACAGTGTGGCTGGGTCCCGTGTTGTGTGTGGGCACATGTGACTTCCTGCCTGTGAGAGAGCTCCGTGTCTTCAGTACATACGTGTGTGTATATGTGATGGGCGGTGCACCTGCCCTCTCTCCTCCACAGAGGGCAGGGAAGGTGCTGAGGTGCAGGGCAGGGTGGGGAGCAGGGGAGCAGGAAGTTTAACACCAGAACCCCTCTCTTGGAGTAAACATGTGTGGGGTCTGGTTCTTCTCCGAGCCCCAGGGAGGACACTGTCTCTGCCTCGCTTCCCGCCTCACAGCTGGGCTGCGGGTGCATCAGGGCCCATGACTGTATGGAGCTGGTCCCTAACAATACCACGCCCGTCTCATCGTTCTCAACTGGAATAATGATAATAGAGTAAAATCTCATTAATTCAAAGTCATCACTTTAAAGCTTGTCATGATTTGTTCAGGGGTGCATGGAAGCTTGGTTCATGGGGTGGAAAAGGGGTCCTGAGGGACAGTGGGGCACAGTTTCCAAGCCCTGGAGTCGAAGTTAACAGAACTCGCTCCCAGCCTCTCGGAGCCTCTGTTTTGATGGAATCACTTCACTTCGATGCAGTTGTCAATGGTGGCCCGATGACTTGGATTAGTGTGATCTTACTGCACTATTGATCATTGTCCTAGTGATACCACCGCAGACAAGTGCCGTCCCCCTTCTATCTGCCGCAGGATGGAGAGTGTGTGGACTTCCCCATCCTCTGGATGGGAGGGGAGCCTTAGGCCGGGCCTGGCCCACAGCCAGTCACACTGGTTCTCAGCAGAGCCGGGGTTCGGCCAGCCTCCTCTGGGGTCCCATGTTCTCCTCTACAGTGCCCAGAAGGAGGCCCGCTCGGCTCGGCCTCAGCTCACGTAGGCCCCCAGGCTCAGCTCTCGCTCTGCTGTCTCCTGCCCTGCTCCCCGCCCACCCGGAGCAGGGCCTTGCCTGCTCACGCCACCCCACCCCCACCCCACCCCGATTCACCTCCCTGTTCATTTCTGTTTCCAGTGCAATGTGCCACCCCAAGCCCTCCCACTTCCCCTGCTTCCCCGACTTCACCAGCCAACCCCCTATCGTCTGAATCCCCACCGGGCACCGACAGCAGCCATACCATGCGGGTCTGAGCTCTGACGTAAGCACTTTTCAACTGTATTTCATCCCCCCCAGGGCGTGGGACCCCTGCCCTCGCCCCCATTGCGCCATCTGCATCCCCCCCATTCTGGCATTGCTTCCCCTCAGCCCAGTGCCTTGCTGTTCTTCCCCTGCCCTCCCTCTGCTTGAGCCCGTGTCCCCAGGCAGTGCTGGACAAGGGCCGGCTGCCACGGCTGCTGCTTAGGGCTGCGACCCGGTGCCAGTGGGCTTTGCTTCTCCGGAAGCAGACGGAACAGAGCTGAGGCCTCCCTGGTCCGTCAGGAAGGGATGTCCCTGTCCCCCTCCCGCCTAGCTCCTGTCACTCAAGGCCAACCAGCCTTCCATCTTTGAGTTACACAGCGGCCCTGCCTCAGGACCACCCAGAAGCTGTTGCTCCCTGATCTTACTTATCCCAGATCTTACTGTAAATTAAAATAACAACAGATCTGTAGCCAAAGGCTGTGCACTGACCTCACCCCTAGCACATGGCCACCCGGTGTCAGGCAAGTGGAGAAGCACCTTGGCTTCTGTTTCTTTCTTCCCCTCTCCGAGGGTTGAGGGAGAGGGGTGGGTTTCCCGGGGTTTTGACAAGTGTCTCTCCTGGGAAAAGTCGTCGGGAGTCTGCTCCACGCGCCACCTTCTCACCCCATCTCTCTCTTCCTTAGTGCAAGCCCAGGCTGAGGCCGCTGCGGGGAAGCCCCACCGAGCCACCTTCTGAGGCCCTCCCTGTCCGCCGAGGCCCCGCCCCCTGGCCCCGCCCCTGCGCTCTCAGGAGAAACTGCAAGGAGCCAGGCTGGGGCCAGGGGCTGCTGCCGAGAGGAACGCGGGTACTTCAGCGTCCACACGCCCACACCAGGCCCTGATGCCCTCACCACTCAGATGGCGGTCCTAAGCCAGGGCCTGAGCTGGTGGGGAGGAGAGCATCCTGTCTGATGCCCAAGTCACAAGACGCCTAGGTCTGACTGGTTGGGGTCATGGTGGTCCTACTGGAACATGCCCTGATGGAGAAGACACCCTGGTGGGGAAGATGCTCTGGGCTGCCTTCGGCTAGGACTAGAGGTGAACAGAAGACGGACACTCTGCCTCTCCCGGCCCTCCTGACACCAAGGACAGAGCCTGCCATCATCCTCTTCCCCACCAACCCGCCCTCCTGCCCCGCTGTGCCCCAGGCTTTGACACACCTCTGCTTATGGGTGCTCCTTTGCAGTCCACTGGAGACTAACCACACTGCTTGAGCCAAAGACGAGATGACAAGAGATGATGAGAGATGGGGAGAGGCTCCTTGGCTCCCAGGGGGTGCCCGCGGTGATAGAGAACAGCCAGGTGCACAGTGTTGGGGAGGTTGAGAAGGGGTAGGAGAGGGGAAGGAGGGGTCCTAGGACAGGCGGAAAGAAGCAGAAGGACTCATTGGCAGGTAAGAAGAGGAGGAGGAAGGGGGATGGGAAAGATTTCACGAGGGGAGCCTTGGCGGGTGCCAAGCGCGGTGCCAGACTGTCAGCTTGGCCTTCCCGCCTCATCCCCAGGACCAGAGGCCCCCCCAGCCAGCACAGTGGCCTTCAGCTGAAGTGCTCCCAGGGGGATTGAGTAGGGAGTGAGGGGGCTGGGTAGGACAGCCTGGGACAGATAGCCCTTTATAGGTCTGGGCCTGGTGTCTGCCTACCCTACTGGGCTTGGGGACAGGATGTCTTATGCAGGGTATAGTCAGCCTTGGAGCCTTTCCTGACCATTTTGGTGACATTCTTTGGAATGTGCTGTGGGCCGGCCGTGAGTGTGCCCAGGGAGAGAGAATGCAGCCTTGACCTGGGAGGCCAGGTTCTAGGACCCTGCACACATCCCAGGCATCCCAGCTGAGCACCCGTTGAGGCTGCACCAAGGACTCCCTTCTAGTTAGACTCTTCCAGGGTCCACCTCTCCAGGGAAGCCAGTCGGGGAGAGACAGAAGCAAACTCATTCTTGCTCGGCTCCCTCGGCCATGAGATGAACGGAGCTGGTAGGGAGGGAATGGGGAGGGTACAGCTGACCAAGCACGGCCCCTGGGCCTTCTCTTAGCCAGAGCTGCTACCCTGAGACTCCAGCCTGACCTACAGTGGCCCTAAGAACAACTACAGCATCTTCCACCAATTCTTCTCCACTCCTTCATGGCTAGGACAGTTACTGGTTGATATGCAAGTAAAGATGACAATTCATTCAACAAATGTTTATCGAGCACCTTTCATGTACCAGGCACTGTTCTAGGTGCTTAGGATAGTCTGCTTCTGAGGGACGACAGACTCGGGGACTCCATTGTCTTTACTTCTAGCAGATTTTTGGCTGCCTTTCCCATAGTCAGCACAGCCCGAGCCCCCCAAACTGTCCTTTCTCCCCCACAGACTGGCAGGTGGGGTTGGCTCCTAGGTAACCCTCTTCCTTGTTCCCTCACCTTTCTCCCTCCACAAGACACTGATTTTTCAGAGCCTTCCCCTTTAGCTGTCTCCTTTTTTTTTAAAGTGATATTTTAAGAAATACTGTACAATACCAAGGATTAATGTCTGCACGTCTGTCTCTCACCTCTTATTTCATAAAGCTGGCCCTTTATGTTGCTTTACATGCCTTAATATATGTTTTATAAAGATTATACATATTATAGATATATATGTAATATATATTTGTTTGGGTGTCTGATCCTTTTCTAGAACTCCTGCCCAGGCCTATTTTCTCCTCTTTGCTTTCCACACCATTCCTAGCATGTCGTGGCTGCGCCCCATGCCTGTCGATCCAAAGAAGGGGAGAGAAAGACTTATTTTAAGACAGATCTATTTTATGCTTTTATTTTAAAAGCAAATCTATTTTCAAATGTTCACTGTCTAAATGGAATTGGCAAACAATGTGAGGAGACTGGGGTGTCTGCCTCTAGTTCCAACCCTCCCCCCTTCCATCTTCCCAGCAGCTCCTCCTCCCGTTCCCCAGTCTGCAGAGGGCTGGTCCCGAGAGCTCTCCTGGAGAGAATCTTGCCGGGGCAGGACATTCTCTTGGAAGTCCTGGTCTAAGGATTTGATTACACTGTCAGCTCTCGATGACCCTCTAGGGTTATCGGGTATGAGTCCTATGGAGAAAATGTTTACAGCATGAGCACAAAAGAACATCCATGCAGCACCTCCCCCAGAGGTGCTCCTGGACCACCTCCCTCCATCACCCTGCTGGAAAGGGCCGATCGTTTCTTGGCAGCCTGTGCCAAACAAGAACGCCAGTCTGTTCCCTGATGGACCCAGGATATGGTGTGAAGGCCAAAGGAAATGGTTTGGGAGCCCCAGTCCTTCCGCGTAGACGTGTTCATGCTCCTTGGACTGCTCACACTCTGTTCACTTGACTTCTCTCTGCTCTGGGTCACGTCTGTGGCATCTGTTAGTCTCTGTGACCTTTCTTCTGGGGGCTGTTAAGGGCCTGGTACCTTGGTCTGGCATCCAGACTGTGGACTCAGCTTCTGGGCTGAGGAGAGTTCCAAGGACAATGGGACATCTCAGCCTTGCCCACGGACCCCAGGACTTGTCTCCAGCTGCTGCTCCTGGGGTGCCGAACTAAGCCAGTTCAGCCTTCCAAACTGCTCATCGACTGTCGAAGTGGGCAAAGGGCTCCTGCCTTGTATGGATTTGGGCAGGATGGAAGCCTTTTGTCCAGATCTGGAATCCAGGGGCTTGAACCCTAGCACAGAGCTCCTGACCAGCATTGGAAGCCTGACCTCCCACCTCTGACACTCCCCGGCCCCTGTTCCCAGCCTAGAGCATCTTGCTATGAATGAAGGGGGCCCAGATGGAGGCCCAGGGCTGAGTAACCCACCTGGTACAGCCCTGGTTTTAATCTAGAGCCTTCCTAATTAGCACATTACCTCCCTGATCAATAACCAAGAGGCTGCAATCGAATATTGCTACTGTCACTTTAAGATCTTCTGAGGTTGCAAGCTGTGCAATGTGTTCTGCCTCGGCGTGAGGCATGCTCTTGGGGCAGGGCTGACTACAGCAAAAGGAAACCAATTCCTTTCCCCTTTAAGCACCCCCACCTGGAAGCTCTTAAACTAAGGAAAAATATAAAATATACATATAAATATATACATATATCTATTTATGCACATATTGGGGCCAATCTGATTTGCTAGTGTTAGACAATAAACTATACAAGGAAATGTATGATCTCAGTGTCTTTATTTGGTATAAAAGTGACCTTAGAGGGAAAGTTCAGGTTAGATAAACAGAGGGCATCTCTGTCAGGAGACCGAACGGCTGTCCAAATCCTTAGCATCTCTCCAGCCAAAGGCCCCTCCCTGGGGGAGGGGGCATCCTGCCTGATGAGTCGAGTCTGGGGCTGCTCCCAGCAGCATTCTTTTTAGATATAGCTACTGAAGCACTCCCACGAGCTTTGCATCTGTATATTGCAAGTTTGTATAAACCCAGTACAGGAAATAAAATGGTTTGTACAAGTGGCATGTCTCTCGCACTCTGTTCACGTCTGCCTGTGGCTGGCCTCAGGGTTCATGGCAATTTACGGTGGTTCTGAGGCCAGGCCTTCCCTAGAAGTAGAGTGGGGTTCAAAGCCTACGTGCCACCTCCCCAACCCTCTGCTGCAGGCTGCACCTCTCCACCTCCCTCCCAGGCGGCAAGCCCAGAGCTCTCGAAAGAGCGCCCCCTCCCGGGGATGACGGCGTGCTGCCGACACAATCATCCTTTTGACTCAGGCGACTCCAGATCAAGGCTGGTCCCGCGGTCTGTATCTTAGGAGTACCCGATGCTTTAGGCTCCGGAAACTTGCCCTTGATTTGGTCTCTGGGACTGTGGGTAGGACTGTAGAATAAAAATGATTCTCAGCCTTTCTTCATGACTACACAATGCCCTGTGTTTCTGCTTTAGGGTACAAGAAGGCAAATGATTTGGGTGGGTGGGGGTTGTCAGAAAGGCCACCCAGATTCTTTCCATCCAGCCTCGTTGCCTTTGGTTTATTTCTCTTGGCAGGTGCTCCGTGGTTATTAGTGATTGGCACTCAGTGTGAAAGACTGAACTAAAGCTTCTCTGTTTGACAGCTTTCTGTGGACAGTAGGAGCCAAGGGGCCCTATAGATTCTATGGGGCGGAGAGAGAACCTGAACCCAGTGGCCGGCCTCAGCTGGACTAATGCAGGCTGTCTGGGGAGAGATGGAGGTGCTGGTGGTTCAAGGAAGAGAAGAAAATTGAGAAAGGGATGGGAAGGCAAGCTTCCTCTAATCGCCAATGTTACCTTGTTCTAATGGCTGATTTTGAATCCTGGACACCTGTCCTCATCCCTAAAGGGCTAGTAGAATAGGTACAAATAAAGTGACTGGGTTTTTTTTTTTTTTGGAGATTGTAACATTTGGGGGAGAGCTATAAACCCTGATATCCTTTGTGAATCAGGGAGAGTTGGGATCACATGTAGGTTCGAGACAGAGGCCTGTTGGGTTGGGAAGGTGTGCTGGAGACCCTGTCAGTTTCCGGGGCTGCCTCTGTATCTGTAGTCCCATGTAGGCCAGAGCCCAGGGCTTGGCGAAGAGGGGGCATGTGAGGGCACCACTGGGTGTCACTGTACCCACGAACAAAACGAGCTGGTTCCTCGCCAGGGATGATGCCCACAGGTCCCTGTCTACTCTACCTCGGGGCTCAGCGCAGCCCTCAGATCGAACCAGGCTGGGGCTATAAAAGGGGCTGCACTCAGGAAATGTAAATAAGACAGCAACTAGCAGAATGCCCTGTTAGGGGGGATGCTCTAACTATGCGGTCATGCATTTATTCTTTTCTTTATTGATTTTTAGAGGGAGAGAGAGATAGAAACATCGATGAAAGAGAACATCGATTAACCACCTCCTGCATGCCACTTACTGGGGATCTGGCCGCCACTTACTGGGGATCTGGCCCACAACCTGGGCATGTGCCCTGACCAGGAATCAAACCAACGACCTCTTGGTGCCATCGGTCGACACTCAACCACTGAGCCACACCGGCCGGGCCAATGTATTTATTCTTAGAGATGGGCACGCCAGTGTCATGAAGGCAGCCAGGCTTCAGACCCTGCTGCCGCCAGGGACCTGGGGCCACCTGTCCCTCCCGTCCCTGAGCCTCCAGGGAAGAACCGGCCCCCACATCGCTGAGATGGAGCAGAGAGACGGTGATGCTCATCTCTTGGCTCGGCTCCTTGCTAGCTCCAAGAAGATTTGACCAGTCACTAAAATCCTTGAGTCTCAGTTTCCTCAATTATGATATGGGGATATTAATGTCACATTTTAGAGCTCCCGGAAAATTCAAATGAGAAAATAGAAGAAAAACACTTTGACAAATTGAATTCACTTACAAATAGGAGGAGGTAGTGGTGATGCTGTGTAGGTCTCTTGGCTGTCTTCAGAGGTACGATGAGGAAAGTGGGAGAAGGTTTCCCAAGGGCTCCCCTTTGCTGAAAGATCACCAGGCCTCTGAGGTGTCCTTCCCCTGCCCACTTCAATTGCGCCAGCCCCGGCACAGGGCACTTTCCAAAGCCTTTCCCTCGGTGACCAGGCCATGGGCTACCACAGGCTGAGCATCAGCTCCCGCCTTCCAGGGTCTACATCCTCCTCCCGGCGGTTGCCCATGTGAGGGGCTCCTCTCTGGGAGGGTGGGCAGTGGACCACCGCCCTGGGCCCAGCTCCAGTACCCAGTGCTGCCATCTGAGAAGCAGGCTAGGAGGGCCCGATTTCAGGAGAGTTCAGCTCTGAGCTCACAGCTGAGCTTCCCAGTGGGCGGAGAGGAATTCCAAGCTGCTACTCTGTACACCTGTGGAGGCAGTTTAGAAGAACCACAATTTAAGATGAGAGCAGGTCTTTCATGTAACAGCATTTAACAGTATACTAATAGTGATATTAATAACAATAGTAGTTATTGTAACATAGTTATTGTAACTACGTGAGAAGTAACAATGGCTCATGTAGTGTTTGCTACGTGCCTGTTACATGAATTTACTCACTAATCCTCCTTATAGCTCTACGTGAAAGGTACTATTATTACCCCAGAAGTGGAGGCACAGAAGGGACAAATAAAAGATCTAAGGTGTGCCCTGACCAGTTTGGCTCAGTGGTTGGAGCGTCGGTCTGTGGACCAGAGAGTCCCAGGTTCAGTTCCCTCTAGGGGCACGTACCAAAGAAAAAAAAACATCTAAGGTGTCACAGACCAGGATAAAGCCCAGGCTGCTCTGACTTTAGTGCTGAAGCCCTTCACTGACCGGTGGTTTCAGTAAGAGTGACACCACCCCTAGCAGGAACTTTGGAATTTTCTGGGGAGCTCCAGTTGTCCCAGGGCTAAGGGGGCAAAACTCTTCCTGGCACTTAGTGGTCACAGTTTACGGGACAGATCTCCGCAGTCATTACCAGTCCTGGATCCTGCACAACTTTCTAGTGTGCTGGTGGGCTACAGCCGCCACCAGTGTAAGCAGCGCAATCAAGTGCTAAAATGTTTCTACAAGCGTCTACGCTTTTTCTTTTTATAAGTTTCATAAATAACTCAATAAGTCAGGAGATGGTTATCACGAGGAAGGAACTTAAAAGGAATAAAGACAAGAGGCAGCATAGATGAATGTGGTCTCGCCTCCTCCCACAACCACATCAAAATTACAGCTAAATTACAGAACAACCCTCCTTCAGAACCGCCTGACACTGAGCTGAATGGAAGTCCTACAACTTCATAATTAAAGAAGCAGCCACATCGAGACTGGTCGGAGGGTTGGAGGTGCGGACAGGCTGGTCCCACACCTATGTGTGGTGGATAAAAATCAGGAGGGACACCTTGGTTGTGAGGTCCTCCCTGAAGAGTGAGGGGATCCCCATCCACACCAAGCTCCCAGTTCAGGGTTCCAGTGCCAGGAAGAGAAGCCCCCATCATTTCTGGCTGTAAAAACCAGCAGGAACTGAGGCTCAGGGAGGCTGACACAGCAAGAGCCCCAGGCAGCTCCTCTTAAAGGGCCCATACACAGACTTACACGATTCACTCTCTCCAGGCTCCAGCATGGGCGAAGGCAGCTTGAGAGGCACCAGAGACACACAGGGAAGAACTGAGTTCTTCGGCATCAGGGCGAGAGCTGGAGAGGCAGCTTTCTTCTGGACAGACTTGCTGTGGGAGGCTGTTGTTCCTTTGGTGAGCCCTTCCCCCACAGGGCAGGCAGATGGCCGCTGTATCTGGGACTCCAGCAACCTGGCTCACACTGTTTGCCCCGCCCTGGTGATTCCCTGAGGCCCTGCTCCACCCAACCTTTGGGCCCACCCAAGCTGTTTCCAGTGGTTTTATCATAGCATTGGCCTGTCTTGGATCCTGCTTCCAAGATTTTTCTAAAATCTCTCAAACAAGCAGCATCTGGTCTCAGCAAGCCCCATACTTCTCGTTAAGTGGCCCCAGGCCTGGTACTAGAAGCAGCCAGCCTTGGTTCACAACTTGACTTTTCTGGGGCACTTCCAAGCCCAGCACAAGAAGCAGCCATCTGCAGATCACTCAGTAGCTTATGCCGGGAGGCCCTGGGTAGAACACAGGCAGAGGCTGACCGTACCCCAGAGCCAGCACACCCAGTGGACAGCTACAGACCACATCGAAGCACCACCACCCAACCACCTCCACAAGTGACACACTCAATGAGCGGACTCAGTGGGTACCAGAGCCCTGCTGCAGTAAGTCTTGCTCTGTCTGTGTGGTGGTCCCTACACAGCTGATCCTCCAAGGGAGTCAGAGGCCAGTGGTCAGTGGGCACAGCCAGTCCTTGCAGCTGATCAGCCTGAGTGAATCCCTCTCATTGATGTGCCAACAGCAATCAAGACTCAATTACAACAGTAGGGTATACAGTCCACACTAGGGGTACACTACAAGGGCCCAGCTCGGGTGGTCAGGGAGGCTTTGCCACTGGACCCCACAGGATACCTACAGCAATAGGCCACCCTATGAAGCCTAGGAGATGTAGCAACTCTATTTAATACATAGAAACAAACACAGGGAAGCAGCCAAAATGAGGAGACAGAGAAGCATGTCCCAAGTAAAAGAACAGAACAAAATTCCAGGAAAA